GAGGGGTTCTACCAGTCTCAGGGATCGATGGATTCGTAGTTCATCCGTGACATCTAGAGAGACCTGTGAATAGCTTCAATTATTTCCTAATCAGGCAATACAAGCATTCACGTGCCTTTGATTTGATAGATTTATCAACAGGGCCAAATAAGCAAGGATTTAGCGGCGATGAGGCAAATAAGCAAATATGAGGGCCGATTTGCTTTATTTGCTTTGGCGGCTGCGCTGGCTGTATACCCCTTGGGAGGTTGCCACAAGGGCTTCGCTCTTGCTGCCCTGGGACTAAATACAACAACAACGAAAAAAACTAGACAACTCCGACCTACGGAGTCGGGTCACGGCCGAAAATTCGGGGGAAAGGAATCATGTCCTTGACGTGACCCACACCACAAAACCATCTCAAGACACGCTCGAAACCCATGCCAAATGCCGTGTGGGGTACCATGCCGAAATCCCGAGACTGTAGCACCCACCCGTACACGTCCCGGATCTCGGCCTTTCCCTTCCTCTTCAGCCGCAACTCGATGTCTTCCCTAGTGAAAGACTTTTCAGCCACACCACATATCTCACCGAAGCCCCCGGACGAGATCAGGTCCGCCGTCATCGTCAGCTCCTCGTCATCCGGGTATACGCGGTAAGGAAATGGCTCGAGACAGCGAGGTTTGTGCATCAGCCAGACAGGTCCGCCGAAGTGGTTCGTGAGGGCATCCTCGGCTTGCTTGGAAATGTTTTGACCAAAGAAATGTCGTGACCTTTACGTTTAGGAGGTTGAGAGCTTCCCGGTAAGTTATGCGCGCGAACGGGACCGGTATACCTGCGGGCGCTGTGCCAAGAACTGCAGCTACTTTCTTTGTGTGCTGAAGTACCGCCTTGAAAATGTCGTGCAGAAAGATCTCGACTAGATCCATGATATCGTTCATCCCTCCCGAGCAAAGCTCTGCCTTGATGTGCCAGTACTCCATGAGATGGCGGTTAGTTCGGCTCTCATTTCTGAAGCTGGGCCCCAGGTTGTACACCCGCTCGTGGGCATGGGCAGCGGCTTCGAGATAGAAGCCAGCGCACTGGGACAGAAATAGGGGCTTGGTCGTTTTCAGATTGGAGATGTGAATGGCGGAACTTGGCTCGTAAAGTATGGAGGGTGTGATCAGTGGTGCACTAATCTCAACGAATTGATGGGCCTTGAACCACTCGTGCACAGCTGAAAAACACTGAGATCGGTATAGGTTGAGCGCCAGGATTAAGGGGTTCCGGAGGTAGAGATGCCTATGCGAGAGCAGAACATCGGTGTTCTGCGATCCAAGGATGCTCGGGCCAGCGTGCCGAATGTCGGAATGGAGCATACCAGTTGCCTTGGAGATGATACTCACACCGCGGGCGACGATGTCGAAGGTCGCATCATGACGGAATGCAAGAGATCCATGCACCATGAGACTCGACTCCGGCTTCAAAATTTTGAGTTCGAACCAGCAAGGCACTTTGGATGACTCAACAACGACCTGAATGGTACCTGTGCTGTCGCCCACGGGGAGAAAGAGCACGCCACCATGGTGACGAGGACGACTGACCAGCCAGCACAGAATGCGCACCTCGCGGTCAGATGGTCCCCGGTTGAGGTGGCTGACAAACTCATGCTTGAAACCCTTAATATCTGTGAATCGTCTAATCGATGGCAACTCGAACGATTTCTCCAGACTTTGAAAAAGCGCTACCTCCCCCGACATCATTTAGTGTTCCCCATCAACAGTCTCACCGGAGGGCCGTACCAACGTGATCGCGGATCGCGGCAGCCGCTTCGCTGGGAGTCAACTGCGTGACGTCCAGCTCCAGTTCATATTCATCTTGGAAACGAAATATGTCCTCTCTTTCCCTGATACTGCGCAGGATGTCTAGATCGGTGAGTTTGGTATTGGATCCCTTGCCTCTATCCCCACCCGTGGCCCTCGTTAAGTTCTCTTCCAGCTCGCAATGCAAGACTATGGAGATGAACGGCGAGCCGCGGACACCTGCGGCATTCTGGTAGTCTCTGGCAGAGGAGCTTCCGAGATTGCTCGAAGACTGCTGGTCCGTAAAGATCCAGGTAACGTCGCGCGTTGACTTGGCGGTTGCAATAGATGTCAAGACTTCCCTGCGCTGCACCCGGTGTCAGAGGAGAATCGCTCGAAGGACAGACAGGTGGTGCTTACCAAGACCTGGCGAAGAGGCTGGTACTCTTACGCAGTTCTGTCGAAAACAGCTGCAGCGGGATCGATGAGGAGGTGATTGCTAAAGGTTTTGGCTTTCGGAAGCAGTTTGCTTTCCGATCCCGGAGCGCTGGTATTAGTGGATTTGAAGCGTTTCTCAGACGGGCGCAGTAGGACCGAGACACACTTCAGCTCTTTGGCTACAGTGAGCTTGCCCACCCCGGGATAGCCGTTGATGTAGATGAATGGCGGCATCACCGGCCACTGGACAGGGTATTGTTCGTAACTGATGAGTGGACGCCGAAAATAACGAGAGCGCGAAGTTAGGCGAAGCCGATGGAGAAGTAGGAAGGAGCCCCGCCGCCCCATTTGAGAGCCACGCAATATTGACGCGGGGCGGGGTGGGGGTCTAGACTTGTCAGCCAGCACACCACCTTTTTTCGTAGTCGGGGTGCCCAGGCCTCCTCCCCGTCCCCCACATCAGTGAGCTTGAATGACCGGCAACTCCAAGGCCGCGCCTGGCCCAATGCCCACGTTGCCCTACAACTAAGGCTGCACTGGCAGAACTGATTTACGTAAAGTGAATTATAAGGTTACGTTTCGTATAGGTAGGGTAGTTATATGTTGGATATTTGACCTAATTACGCAAGTTTTGAATTTTGACCTAGTGCCTCCTGCGGACTGCCATAACTGGCCCGTTCTTAGGCGTGGACATCCTCGAGCTGGGTGCTGGCACCAAATGCCGAATATATAATGCAGCCTCGTTTTCAAGGCTTATCGACAGTCTTCCTGAGAGGGTGACACATGGCCAATGAGATACTGCAGAGAAGTCGCTTAACTGGGCCCTGAAGTACACATCTGGCGTTCAAAGGGATGAAAGGCTTGCGCTTCCGCGTCAGAGCCATTGTCGTGACTGTGAGGTTTTCATTTGTCTTGCTGCATTCGTCTCCCACACGCTTGTGATGGTCGTCTGGTTGCTAATTGCGGCGATATCGTCGCTCGATTTATTGCACCTCTATCAGGTCATTATGTTGCCTCTCTGTTGCCTCTCTATTGCCTCTCTTGCGATAGCGACGAACATTGGATTCGTGCCAGACATGCTTCTGATTGCTTCACACTCGAATAATTTGCTCCTTGTGGTTAGGGAGCGTCTCACTGCAAGGGCAGTGTGGAAGTAGAGGGTTCTATGAGCCTGTCCTTTTAGCGAGAATGAGATTCAGCCGGAAGCGCTCAGGCAGCAAGTGTATGCCTGAGATCAGAACGAACGCCTCTATGAGCACGCCCGGGGGTCGAAATAGCCTCGTGGTGTCCTAAGACGAGACCAACGGCATCCTCACCGTCCGAAACGGACTGCGACCGGTCGGATTATGTTCCGTACCGTCCGTTTATCGGAACGGTGCCCACCACTTTGGGTTGGCGAAGCCATCACGAAAGATGCCGCCTGCGCTCCATCTAGATGATTCCAGTGAGGGCTGGATTAGTAGTTGGGTCGGTGACGACCAGCGAATACCCGGTGTTGTATGTTTTTGGTTCTCCATTACATTTTTATCAGTGCCCCCCTCCCTTTGCGTCTTAGAAAACCAATAGCTAGAAGAGCCTGTATGAAGACAGCATCTTAACCCGCTCAGACAGAGGCGCTTACAGTTTTAGTGATTACTATACTGTTGTTTTCTTTTAGCTTCTATTATTAAGGCCTTTCCTCTCCTTCATCCGCGACTCATATTTCAATCTTCTCTATGGCCCATGCCAAACGTGTGCTGTAAATACGACCAGCACGAATCCCGCGCCTTAGCCTGTGGCCACGCAACCTTACGCGTCGTCTGCCCGTCCCAAACCCCATCCTCATAGACCGGCCCACCAAAGAACTTCATCGGCCATTCGCCGCAGTAGACCCATTCCAGCGTCGGAATCACCTCGGCGTACTTCTCGGCTTGCTTGAACATCTTGTAGCGGTGTGCGTACTCCCAAATTTCATCCGCCGGATCCATGATTCCGCCGTCAGAATCCTCAATCGGCTCGAGCTCATTCATCCAGTCTCGCTTGTTGGCAAGCTTGCGGTCCTCCGGATCGACGACTTTGATCTCGTAATAGTACTCCGGCTCTTCCAAGTTGTATGGAACCGGGTACGTATCCCGGGATATGGCGAGTCTTTTCAATCGCGTGAGGCCTTTGAGAGACTCTCGAACAGCATCGTGGTCAATCAACCATTGGCGACGCCAGCCACAATTTACTCCTGCGGTCAAACTGAGCTGCTCGAGGGTATCCAAGGACCCAATTGCGGCTAGTGCAGACTCGGACACCCGGGCAATGTGCGGCCGAGTTGATTCCTCCATGCCTGGCCCCTTCCATGTCAACGATAGCGAGTTCAAGTTGGCCCAACTACCGTTGGACAAGCAGGGCATGAGGTGATTGTCAATGAAGGCGTCTGGACCATGGCCGAGACACAATTTCTTGATATGCGGGTGGCGATTGAGGAACTTCATCAACGGGCTAGTAGTATAGGGCTTCCCCGGGGTTTCCCTTACGAATGGAACAACTAAGGTCTCGAGGTCTCGAAGTGTCTCGCAAGACAAGAAGGACTCGTCCCATTCCCATGGCATGGAGAGATGGCGAAGCGATGGGCAGACCATGACACACAAAGCTGTCGAGTCCACCTGGCAGTGGGACAAGTTGAGAGTTCGTAGACTGCGGAGGTTGATATCTCGGCTTGACAATGATAGTCTCTTTTCAGTCGTGCCCATCGGGAACATTCTGTGCACGACTAGTGTCTCAAGACTCTGCTCGCACCGCTTGATAAGCGCCGCGATGACATGGCAATCGCTTTGAGGCTTCCATTTTGCGAATGAATCTTCGTTGTCGGGTGCTTTAGCGGTGTCTGTATCGCAGTCTGTAATTGTGACCTCCTCAACCTTGTGTTGGCTATCTCCGCAAAGGGTAAAATTGAGGTCCAAACACCGAACTTGTTGAAATGAGTGTGCAGGAAGCTGGTCTAGTATTCCGAGAAGTCCCTCGCTTACTGTGCCGTGAAATTTGATATGTTGAACGGAAGATCCAGCGAGAGTCGTAAATAAATAGGGACTCTGGCACAGTCCGTCGAGCCAGGAAATAGCCTCCAAATTTGGCATCGCTCCGATGCCAAAAAGAATGGGCATCTGGTGATTGGCCACGTACTCCAACTCTGCCTTTTTTTGTAGTGAACCAATGTGCTCTCTTACAGCATCGGTTATTTCGCCTCTGTCGGCTCCCCAAATCGAGTCATGGAGCTCTTTATGGAAACCGCCGAGCCAGCCAGGGTCTGACGCCACTTTCACATGTCGGATACATGGTCCAATTCGACCGCGCGACTGAGGACCTCGAGAGGCGGCCTCTGTTGAGAGGAGTTGGGCAAGTTGACGAGATGCTGGGCTGTAGTCGAAGGTGACCACCGCGAATTGGCAGGATCGAGCGAGCTGCCTGCAGTCACTGTTGACAAGAGCGAGAGACGCCAGAGAGGGCTTTTCATCTGCAATCAAGTCCATTATGTCGCCGAGGATCTCTGGTGGAAGACGGAAGAGTAAACTCTGTGATGCGGCTGGCCGAGCCTCCATCACCTTGGTAAAGAGGAGGGGGAGGCGCGCTCCAGGCTCCTTGCCAAAGAGGTCCGGGCCGCCGCTGAACTTCCCCATCATCATAGACGAGACATCATGGGAGAACATGTTGCCAACCGTAAAAATGGATGGCGAAGTGTCCTGGTAGACCAAGGGTGAAGTTTGGTGTTTTGCCTGGGAGTCTGTGGCGTCAGAATCCCGCAGAGCCCCGCCCGCCTGAAACCTAGGTAGATTGGGCCGGAAGGATGAAGTTAGGCAATGCTATGGGCTATTTGCATGAGTATGGCTTACAGCACACCCAGCTTACTGAGCAACAGCAATATTCCTATATACGCTATTCCGCCGCTCTTTAGTCAGCAGCTATGCCCGGACAGCAAGGTTTAGCCGATAGCCGACCACGACAAGTCGCGACGCCCCACTTCGCCCTGCTGTTGAATCAAGGCCTGCTGGATTTCCTGTCGTGAAGTCATTCTGAGTTGGGAAATTGGTGCCTCTTCGCGGTATTCTCGCAGCAGGAGACCAGAGAAGCGCATGGATGAAAATGCTGCTTGGAATGCCATACGAGGTCGTGTTTTTGATTGATCCCTTGAAGTTCTCCTCGTTGAGAACCGCAAAGATGCCTGCGAAGCCATTCAAAACGTCAGGTTCAAAGGGAAATTGCCGTTTGCTGTAGTTGCACACAAGCTCCATGTACGTGCCGAGCGCCTTCCAAAGTTTAGGGCCAGCCTCGAGGTTGTTCATCTGCGTTGTTTCAGGACAAGGCCACAATCGTCGCAGAAGCTCTCCCATTAATGATATCTACGTTTAGGATATCTCTCGCCTTGCCTGCTGCGTCGTCTTGCATAATATAAACAGCGCTAATCCAGAGCAAGCAGAAGGCAAGGGAGCTAACTAGCGTTATTACGTCTCTAATACTCTTTAGAAATAGTACTATAGCTAGAGCCTAGAGGTATTTGTTACGACCCGTTATGCAAGATAACAGTTAACCGACCCACTTGGGCATCGGGCGGCTAGGACAGGACATTTGTACTGCAGGATCACGGGAACAACAGGGACTCGTTCGGAGACGGAAGAACTATAGTTCAAGTCACGTGACGATAAGATAACGATCATATTGGATCAATATGATCCAACACGACTTGGGGGCCGAACGATCATTCTGGATCAGAATGATCCGGATCGACCCAAGGTACAAAGGAACATGTTCGGAATTAGACTTGTATATAGTATGACCTGAGGCTGGCTCATGGTCATACTTCCATAGCTCTTTAGCAATCAACTTGTGATAATCACCACAGATACTTTCAGCTCACCTTCACTGCGAATTACTTGTTGAGTCTAAGACTGATCACCTTAGCCTCTGAAGACTTGATCTACTACAGCCTACGACCTACGACCTACGACCACGGCCCCAGTGTACTGTTTTAACCTCAATCCCCAACTTCTGTTAGCAGACCCTACTGTCGGATAGCTGACCGTAACATCCAGGTTGCATCCTCTAGTAGGGAAAAGTGAGGGGAAAGATAATCTGAAACGTAACCTACTAAACTGCTAATTACATAAGGTGCTTACGTAACTATACGTATTACATAATCAGTATTATAGTTATAAGTTGTAATAAATAGAGTATTTTTATTTAAGGTTTTATACCTTAAATGTTATTAGTTTATTTTACATAGAATATTAAAGTAAGTTAAGCGTTATTATTATTCTTATATTTTTATTATTATTATAAAAGAATCTTATATGTTAACAAGAACTAATAAGAGAAGTTAGTTTATCCTCTTTAAAGTTATTAGAAATATTAAAAAAGAAATAAGCTGAATAATAACACTTAGAAGTCCTAAAGATAAGCTTATAAATAATAAGTATAATAATAAAATAAGCTTTATACGTAATAGTAAAAATAATATAAGAAGATATTATAAAATATTGAATCTATTTAATTAAAATATTAGTATAATAATAAGAAAGTAGTATGAGGTTAATATATAATTTATAAACTCTTGAAAGGTTAAAGAAAAAGAAAAGAAAAATAATAAGAAGTAAAAATAATAAAAATATTATTTACTTACCTTTTTATTTTTAAAAAGAGCTAAAATAATTGATAAAATCATAATTAATTAGAAACTTTAAATTAGTTGAATAAAATAAATAGTATTTTATTTTACTACTCTAACTAGTTATAGTAAGAAAAGCTATTATTCTATAACTTATAAAATAATAAAAACTATAATAATAAAAAGTAATTAAAGCTATTTAAAAACGCTTAATTAAGCTATAAAGATAACTATATAATTATACTACTTATCCCTAAGGAGGCATATTAGATTATAGGGGTTAAAATAGCGCTTCTTAGCAGCTAAAAGTAGCCTAAATAAATAGATAATCTGCCTAGCGAGAACGGCAGGCCCTATGAAAACCGCGCGCAGAGTTTTGCTTATGCCTAGGGATACGTAGTTAATACACATCTAAGTCAATTTGTCATAGCCCTTAACTAGTAGACTAATTGATTATATTTCTAGCTACGCGGATTGCGTACGCATAGAGTTATTGAGGTGTGAAGTTTAGGGTGATTTGGGGGTTTTTCGGTAAAAAGCCCCTTTTTTTGCCTTTTTCGGGCTAAAACTTGCGGGGTGGACGCTGTCAACGCAACGGAGTGTATTCGCCGATGACTGGACAGAATTGCCGACGAAGACTGTCAGAACCCTTAAGAAAGTATTCGCCACCGCTGCCTTATCTTTTGCTATCATATTCGAGATACCTCATCGTCGGATGGCAACCCAGCGGTATCTCTTGGTCGCCATGCACATGCTTGCCTGGCATCGAGAAGAAATTCTGCGAAGGTCCAGACCACTTTCTTGAGGCGAAGGACGTGGGATTGACATTATTACTTGCCAGACTATGAGTTATGCTATGGAAAGGGGCTCATGCATGAGCCCAAGACTCCATCAGCGGTTCGAGAACCACGCTCATAACGACCAAGTTCTCCGTTGCAAACCGCATCTTTTCGTGCACAGCAAAATTGCGTTAGCCAGCCCCCGACCGGCCCGTTCCGACCAGTCAATACTGCCATATGGACAGCTCTACTCCGAAATATCCTCGTATTTCCGCTTTCCTGTGATAGGCTGTTGCAAAAGTGGAACCACAATTGCTAAGCACCAATTGCGCCTTATCCTTCGCAACATAGGCCTAAAATGAAAGTACTCCAAGTTGACATATCTCTCTGCTTTATCCATGCAGCGCTCTCGATCATATCTTTCGGTAAAGAGCCCCTCTTGACGGTAGATTTTCATAGTGCCCTTGCCTGGAGGGCCGAACTCAACCGATCTTCTGTCATTGGCATGCTGTTGTAAATGCGTGAGATGATCTACCGTAAGACTGAGGCGGCTCAAGAAAACCCAAAAAATATGGTAGCACATACGAGTTCAAAATTTCTCCACATCTTCTTCAGTTTCGAGAAGAAGCCAGTCACTGTGTAGGTTGCATGCTCCTGCCACTCTTCATCGCCCTATTTAGATATTGCATCAGTAGAGTTCTGGGGTTGATGTGACTGGAGGGGAGTCAACCTGCGAGAGTTTGGTTGGCTTTGGGCCGACTTGAACATCAGCAAGAATGACGGTCCCGCGCTCCGTATCAATGAAAATGTGGTGGCCGTCGCGTCCGGTAGGATGACTTGCCAGCACATAGACGTGCGCGGGTACTTGAATCGTCCATCCCTCGAACAAAAATTTTCTCTGGCTTTCGCCAGGAAAGTTCAAAGCTTTGTCACCTGCGCAGTCAACCGCGGTTGTCCTCTCGAAGATGTGCCACGGTTCGAAGTCGTCTATCTCGTCGCGGCGGATGTATGGGATATGCCTCATCAGATCAAGCACTGTATCGTTCTTGCCAAGGGCAAAGGTGTTCATCCAGTCTCTATTGATATGTTGCCACCCGCCCTCGAGAGGGTATCGAACCACCGACGGAGGAAGGAAAATTCGTGTCAGAAACTCATAGTAGGATGACAGTTCAGCAACGACTTCATCTCGTGAGTAACTCGGCACCTCGTCGTCAGAGTCAGACATGTTTAAGACCAGGGAAAGATTTTATGTGGCCGCGTGCGCCAGTGTCTCGCCAATTTGTTGGCTTGAGAGCATTGGACGTTTAGGCAGCATGACTTCCGAGAGTGTCGCGAGATGTGAAAACGAGAGACGCGTTACTTTGATTCGCAAGACCAATTGATCTGGCGCTTAAACACACTAGTCCTCATCCAGAAGGTGACCTCTGCGAGCACTCAGTTTTGGTGTCTAGGACGAAAGCCCACATAATTCTTCTCTCGCCTAATGTTCCTCAGCGGCTGATGGTCCAAAGTAGTCACTGGAGCCACACAAATCATAACGCAACTCACAATAACCACAAACAAGCCCGCCCTTTTGGGCTCGCAAGCTCAGCTCTCATGGGCATTAAGGAAACTGCAGAAATTGTGTTCGGCACACTCATGAGGTACACGTACAAACCTAGTCACTCGTCGAGTGCCGTGGTACCGTATGAGACCGGAACGATAGTGGGGCCGGTTCCTCCGCCCCCGTGCCCCGGCCCCAGTTGGCGTTCGGACTCCGGAGCAGGGCCGTTCACCAAATACCTTATTCGTAGGTAGGTACGTTACGTGCCCTAGCCGGGCGCATCCTTCTTCCCTTCCCAGGCGTTCCAAACACTGAAGTCCCTCGGGCACAGATCTGAGTTACCTCCAGGCCCGACCCCACTTATGCTTACGGTCGCGACGACGCTGAGTGTGTACCTAAGGTACTCATGCATTGGATGTCTGGCGTTCTATTCCATCGTCCTCACGCCTTGCTTTGCGTTCTTTCTTCGTCTTTTCCCTCCCTTTAACACTCTGGACGCGCCATGGTAACCGGGCCTCAACCATGTACCAGCCAATTCTCCACCGGTTGGGGCCGCTGGCTGTTCAGACTGCCTACCCCCGCGCCAGCTCTCGGCTTCCTCGAGCATCTTACCTGCTGGGCAGATCTTTATTGATCTCTCATCTACAAGTGTTTAGTCGGTATCCAAGCCCTACGGTGACATCTATCGCAACCACCGCTCGGCAGCATGCAAGATGCATTAATTCTCGCCCTCTTCTGGCTCGGGATCCTGTGTCGCGCCGACCTACTCCCATCGCTACGCCCGGGAAGCCGAGGCGTATCTTCCAGAAGCTCTTGTACCTCCTCGGCGGCCTTGGCCTGGCAGGATATGCCGCCGACCGCTTCTATCTAGGCAGCGTGGGCATGCGCAGCGCCAGAGCATACGCCACCATGGCTCTCGTCGGCCTTGACTACAAGCTGCACCTTGGAAGCAAGCCCTACATTGCTGGCGTACCCGTCGATGTCCTGCATGAGCGCAACGCCCGCCGCGTCTGCGACATGCTGAAGAGTAACGGAGGTCTCTACCTCAAGGCCGGTCAGGCTATGGCCATGCAGGGTAGCGTCCTGCCAGGGTGCTACCAGCAGAGACTTTCCGAACTATTCGACGATGCCACGCCAGCTCCATGGTCCGACGTCGAGGCTGTTATCTGGGAGGACTTTGGACAGACCGCTGATCAGCTGTTCGGCCCTGCCGTCGAGCGCTAACCTCGCGCGGCCGCTTCCATCGCCCAGGTCCACTATGCCCGCTTGCCGGACGGCCGCGAGATTGCCATCAAGGTCCAACGGAGGCAGATCGCGGCACAGGTGTCCTCCGATCTGTCGACGCTCAAGCGCTTGATCGAATTCGCCGCAGAGGAAACCGCGATCCCCATGGCGTCGCTCGGAGATTTCCTCATGAACCACGTCATGCAAGAAACTGATTTCGTGCATGAACGGTCTAACTCGGAGCGCCTTGCCAAGTTTGCGCGAGAGGACCCACGCCTATGCGACCGTATTCATATTCCTACAGTCTACAGCGACCTGAGTTCAAGGCGAATTTTGACGACTGAATGGATCCACGGTCTCACGCTTCGGGACAAGGAAGGCATTACAGCAGCAAGTAAACCATCGGGCCGTGGGTTGAGGCTCAACCTAGGCGATGTCATGGAGACAGTCATTGAGCTCTTCTCGGCCCAAATGTTTCGCTACGGATTCGTACATTGCGACCCTCACCCGGGAAACATATTTGTGCGGCGCTTGCCTTCAGGCAAGCCCGAGATTGTCCTTCTGGACCATGGCCTCTACATAACCCTCTCCAAGAATCTGCGACAGCAGTACGCCCAATTCTGGAAGGGTCTCCTCACGCAGGACACCGACGCCTTGAAAAAGGTGTCCAACGCCTGGGGTATGGAGGATCCGGAACCGTGGGCCGATGCATTCACGATGAGCTCCAAGAAGCCCAAAAAGGCGCGAAGTGAAGAGACGACGGAGCAGCGTGACGAGCGCATAATTGCCGAAACGGCCGGCTACTTTGGAACAGATGGCTTGTGGCCTCCGGAGCTGGTCTTTTTGGAACGCAACGTCGGCCTGGTGCAGGGTAGTAACCGGTTCCTCGGCTCGCCAGTCAATCGTGTCAAGCTCATTGGCACCGCGGCTATGCGCTCGGTGCAGGCCAGCGGTCAGGAAACCATGTGGAGGACAGTGCGGTCTAAGTGGTCGCTGTTCATATTGGACTTGGCTTTCTACCTCAGTAGTGTCAGGCAGTACTTTGGTTACGGTCGCGGCTTCGAAGAAGACTTGGAGGAAGAAGAGGACAGGGCGGCGCGGGAGCTGAAAGACACATTGACGATCGTGCTGGGTATCGCGGTTGACTAGAGTGTTCGCCCTGTCTCGGTATCTCATCAGCGTTGTATTTCGCATCCACTCAATCACTGACCAGACCACATGATTCTTGGTCCATGTATTAAATCCTAATTCTCCTCAATAGAATACTAAAGAAGTGTAGTGAGTACATTTATGACTCGGAAAGCGAAGTAAATGCCATTTTTGGGTCAATAACACACCACCAGCCGGAGTCGCGTCGGTAGTGTATTGCATTCGCCCAGTATCAAGAGTCAATTATTTATTCTGAGTATAAGCAGGAAAACCAGTGTAAAGCTACCAGTGCAAACCATGCTTCTTCCACGTCTCGTTCTAGGCATCTGCTGACCTTCTGCATCCGTTCCCGAGTTCGCCGGTCTCATCATCCACTGCGTCTGCATCCACCTTTTGTTCCGAATTCTCCAAAGACCGTAAATATACGCAACCTTCGCAGATCATCGCCGAGGAGTCTCGTTTTGTCACCAAACTTCCGGCCGTCCACTGAAGAAGCTTCCAAGCCGCTTGGAGGAACACGAGATTTGCCAGCACCAAGGAGTAGAGTAAGACCCCAATGCTCTTCTTTTCGGGGACTGAGCCGAGATATTCAGCAACAAGAGTGGTTTCTTTGCAGGAAAGGGAATCCATTAACGGCTTGAACCTTTCGAAACTGTTTTTGAGGCTCGTCAAGCCCTCTCCAGGGTTACCGAGTGTACGACCGGGCGTCGGTATTTGGTTGAAGAAGAATCCGTCTAGCCTGTCGGGGCCAGTACTGTTAAGTAGACCGCCAGGCTTCCGGTTCATATTGTTTGGAGAGAGAATTGCGAATTTGAGGCTGTCTTCGTCAAGAAGCAAATTTGGGGACGAGCAGCTGCCCAAATCTTGGGCGAACAATGAGTATAGAAGTTTGGCGACGTGAAGCCCCTCCGTAAGGGCAGGTGACCAATAGGAGTTCTGCGAAAATGTTGGTCTTTAGATTCATCTTCACGTAGTTATGTCTGCTTAAACAAGAGCGAGCACCTTCTTGTTGTAACCCGGATCATGCATACGGCCATCGTTGTTATTGTTTAAGCCATCCTCCATATTCCAGAACCATCTTGCATAGAAGAAGCCATCGGACCGTATACTTAATCTCTGTTAATGATTTCCCACAAGACGTCCAAATATGAAGATGGCTACTCACTCATCATTTGAAGGGTTGGGCATATATCTCATTCCACCGCGAGCCACAGCTACAGAGTCATCTGGTAGTCTTGTTTGAGAGGCAGTGGTCAACACTCCATTCAAGTAAGCATTCAGTAATCTTGTGCCCCACCATACGCTTGCGTGCGTTTTAGGGTCATCCACAAGAACATAGTTGAAATTTCTCTGCGCATTATCATTAGAGGCTTTCATTGTGACATTCTTGGCACCCCCGTCGGATAGTACGATGCACCACAGCGTCGAAGTCACACTGGAATCTTCCCAAGAGTTCCATGTTGAAGACGGCGGTTTAGAAGGGTCAACTTTCTTGAGGGAGATGAAAATTTCTTGCACTTGGCAATTCTGCAGCAGGGAGTTCATGTATCGCATTGAACCAGGCAGAGAAGACGATGACTGGTCGTTGCCAGGCACGGGTCTGATGCCCGTGATCTGATATCTGAAGCCGAGGTTTGCCGTGGAAATGGAGCTTCCGACCAAGAGCAAGGCAGGTTGGCATTCAGCTTTCGCGTCACCTTGCCAATTGAATGGTGCTCTGCGAAACCACCTACCCACGGTATCGTTACATCAGCACGACTGTTCGTTGTTACATAGATAGTGAGGATGTATTTATACGAGGCTATCTGACATACCGCGCGTTTAGTTTCTCGATAGTTGCATTGGGGTTTGTTGTGTAGATAGCTTTTGTATAGTATACGCTTGAGCTGAGATTCAGAAGGGTGAAGATAACCGTGAGGATAAACCCGCCAATTATTACCACTGGAGTAAACCATCGGAATGGGTAGGGCCTTGTGATAGAATAAGAAAAGATCGAGGAGTGCATGTTCTTTGAGAAGCTGGAAAATACGCAACGAGTTAGCGTTGACAAGTCGAATAGTAATTAAGCACTCTACCAATCCATACATGGCGAGGATACTTCGTGATCTTGTACATCAGGAGAAGATTCTTGGAACCAAATGCAATAAGGCTGCGGCCTTGGCGGGTTCTCACAGCCTGCTCTCCCGAGACAATACGGTCTTAGACGTGGCACTGGGCCGTCGTCAGTGTGGCTGATTTCAAAGGGAAATTGAGCCGATTGGTCATGGTTGGGAATGTACATGCGACGCAATCATAGCATTATGCAGTCATTCATGATGCTGAGACGCCCTTGAATGCCATTCTCTTGACTTTCGTTTGCCCAAGTGCGTAAAGACCTGCTCAACTGTGGTACAAATGAGGTCATACTATCATTACGATTCCAGCATGCGGCTGGGTCTAATGAAGCTGGGGAGCAATAAAACAAGTTCAAAAGAATGGATGATGCTGTACCTTGTGATTCACTGCGCGCGAGAATCTCGGCTTGATGGTCTTAGGACTGCTCTCATGACAGTCCGGGTGCCATAGCATTGGGGCTGTAGGTTGTTTCTGCCAAGGTGCTCCTAGCATAATTTCTCTGCCATAGCCTTTAAATGATCGCGCAAAATCCGGGGTCTGGGCCAAAAGAAGAGCTCCAAAAGTGCAGTATGATAGTTCAGTTCCTTTGGCAATCTACCTACGTAGGAATATTTGCTGTAGGACTTTGCGTTTGCTGGCATCTGACGTCCAGTGCCGCTTGTCGCACGGCTTTGAAGCCCGAGGGGTCTTTCTTACTGCTTGTTGTTCACTATCTCATCTCAGCTCTTGTTTGCCTTCGAAACCTTTTTTGTTTTTTCATCCTCAACAAAAATGACTGAGCTGTGGAGTACCAATAGCAGGGCAGTACTACGCATATATGACCATGAGGTAAGGTAAGGTATTGAGGTAGGTTTTGCGAAATACCAAGTGCCGATTATCAAAGAAGAGGCAATCTGTTAGCTACACTAGAGATCGCGAAGTCTACATCGAAAGAAGAGTTCATCTGGGTTGGAGTTGAACCGCTCCAGAGTCCTGAACTCTTGGCCCGGCGAAGCCAACTCAAAATCAAAGTTTCGTACCAAGGTTGAGATGAGCATTAGCTGCTCAAAGTAGGCAATGTTTCTGCCAATACATGCCCGAGGTCCTGTGCTGAATGGTAAGTGGACCTTGAGCATTTTGTTCTTGTCGCCGTCAATCCAGCGCTGAGGTCGGTACGTCTCGGCGTCCTCGAAAGTCTCAACATTGCGCAACAGGGTGTAGGTCGGAACTGACACAGTGACGCCCTCGGTCACAAACCGCACTGCGATCATCCGACCACCTTCCGGGACAACCCTGGGCAACCCCATAGAAGTCGCAGGTCGAACGCGAAGAGATTCCTCAACACAGGCTCTCAGAAACGGCAGCTGGCCGACGGAGTCGTATGCTGGTACGGTATTCCTCGGAATGACAGGATCTAGTTCTTTCCGGAGCTGTTGGACCACATCTGGATGGGTGTAGATGAGGTACAAGGAGTTTGTGAGAGAAGCAGTGGTTGTCTCCGTAACAGCGTTCATCATGACAGAGCATTCGGCAAAAAGCTCGCCAAAGGGAAGGTTGACCGGTTCGCCGTTGTTTTTCACTATCAGCTTTTGGAAGATATCCCCTTTCGTCTCTTTGGATGTGAACCGCGCCTTGGTGCAGTGCCGGATGATATTATCGAAGTCCGCGCCAGCCTTCTTGTACGGATGCCAGGAAAAAAACTTCTTGGTCAAGGACAGTAGACCAGCTTCCATCCCAAGGACTGTGTTGATGTGAGTGGCGTCTAGCAAAGACTGAATAAAAGGGGCTTGGTAGACCTCCCCCTCGGATGTTTCGGCGTTGACCAGGTCGCTACCGCGCTTCAAGCAATTTAATGATTCGCCATAGAGCATCGTTGAAAAAGCATCAATAGTGAAGTAGTTGAAATATCGGCGCATGTTGACTGGTCTCTCACCGTATGCAAAGATGATGAGTTGTGTCATTAATATGCGGATCGTCTCAGCAATGACGGGCTCTTGTTCCGACAAGGACTTTTGGGCGAAGACGTGGGCAAGTAACTTCCGCTTTCTCTGATGCTCAGTCTTGATTCTCTCGTCGGCCATATGGGGGAACGCTCCGGCCCCTCCATCGTACCAAGCGTCTTTGAGAAAGTTGGCCCCGTGGCCGTAAATGTCATAGACAGCGCGAGGGTCTGAGATGGAGACGTAGTTGGGAGCAATGCGGACATGCGTGCCCAGCGTCTTGTGTGCTTGGTGCCCCGCCGCGAAGTGCTGGTATTTGAAGCAGTAGAAGATACGCCACAAGCATGAGATGCCGGCAAATCCTGGGCTAGGGAACTTTCTGAGACCCTTCCGGTCGGCGAGGTAGCTTGTTATCGGTGCGCCGACCGTACACCAGAGGACAAGTGCGGGAAGCACTACTTAGAATATTAGAAACACGATATCTCGATTCAAGAGACCAAAATTGTGTCTCACCGAGTAGCAGAAACATAATAAATCTTTTAGAAGACTGGGTCAATATTTTGAAGATTGATTACAAGTGCAGGACTGTATGAAGCGATGTCGGTGCGCTATCACCCACCCCTTATATCTTGAATCTAAAACTCACATATCGTTCAAACTCCTCCCAATGCGCAAAGTATCGCTTTGACTTGGCTACCTACAAATCCCGAATTTGGGGCAGAAGGGGAAATCCCCCAAGTCTTGCATACTTCTTGTTACTTACAAGTCACAGCCTGACAACGTCTCCAGGTGATCAAACGTGACATTTGGACACCATCAGGACGAAGGAGGCGGCTGGCGGGCGGCTCTCATCAGGCACTCCGATCAAGCTGGTGTTAGGCGGGCTTCCCTACAGACAAAGCCCATCGCGAGACCATGCATGTCCGAAGTCTGGAATCCCCGGAAATAGACAACCATGGAGAGTGTCAATCTTCTGCGAAACGGAAATTTGCGGGGGATGCGCCGCGTTAGCCCTTTTCCGTTCATTCGCCAGAAGAGGGGAGGGCAGTTAAAATAGATCAGCCAGTCAAATACTGAGAGTGTGTCAACCAACGTTGATACATTCAGGTGCTATTTTGGTCCATAGCCTATGTATATCGGATGTTCCTATTGACCTAAGCTGCACGAAAAGGGCATCGCCGATCACAGCTCCGATTCGTAAACAGACATCCTGGCATCAATCTCAATGCGCAATTACGCAAGTGATTCCGAAGCTTCTGTTACACACAATGCTATAAGATTTTAAACAGAAAACTCTTGGTGCTCTACCGTTGTTGAGACATTTCGCATGTCCTTGCTTTTGTCATCTGAGTTCATCTCTCTCAAGGACTGAGTGTCCGAGATCATATGTCTCCTCCAAGCCCTGACAGGAACCTTCTCAGCGAAGAACATTGAAATCTCCAAACTTGATCTGCCAGCGGTTTCGCCGACACAGAACCATGTCCAAAGTATGGAGAGACACGTCGTGCCAGCGTATACGAAGCCCACCATCGGGCCTAGCCCGGCATCATAGTACAGATACGGCGCGGTGAACGATACTGCCCAGGTCGTCAGGTAGAAGATGACGATACTCGCAGACATGATCTTGCTCTGGTTGGGGCCGACTGCCATTTCTCGAGCGACGGTATACGCAAGGGGGCCAAGACCGAAGTTGAAGCCAACCACGACAACGAAGGAAAACACTACAATAACGTATTGCGTTGAAGATTTCAGTGGCTTGATCGAGACCCCACCGATTATGATGAAAGCCACCAGCATCATAAAGTTGGTGATCATGAGGTTGACACGGCGGCGCACTCTGTTGGCCGTAATTACCGAGGCGCCCACGGCAAAGATTTGGACTATGTTGGTGATGAGTTGAACGAGAAAAGGGTCGCCCAATCCAGTAGCCTGGACGAAGACGACGCCGTAAACGTAGAAGAACAGAATGCCACAGATTTGTTGGCCGAACATAGCTCCAGCGGAGTATGTCAGCTTGCGTCTTTCGATAGGGTCCGTTATCAGAGATCCCCAGGAAGAGAACTCAGCATGGTGCTCTTCTATGCTCTTCGCATTCTCAGCAGTCGCCATGTCCTCTGATGGGTCGTAGCTGGGCTTGCTTTGATTGATTCTGCGAAAGCTTTGCTCGGCCTCCGTACGACGGCCTTTGAGCACGTACCACAGCGGGCTCTCTGGGATGAACGGAAGAAGGGCGGCCATTATCAGGGGAAGTACGACGAGACCTCCCATGGGAATGCGGTATCCGAGTGAGCTTTTGATGTTTTGGGTGCCCTGGTTGATCGCAGACGCGCATAGTTGAGACCAGGATTGGAGAAATTGGAAGCACATAAGCGCTGGTCCACGAATTGAGGGGGGTGCAACTTCGCCAATGTACAACAACGAAGTGACGGTAAATTGGCCGACTCCAAGGCCAATCAGGATACGTCCGACCACAAGAAGGCCTTCTGAGCTGAGCGTGTCTGCGACTTGACAAATGCCGCCGATAAATATGCAGAGCGAAGCCAGCCAAAACGTAGACTTTCTGCCGTACCGATCATTGAGCGGAGCGGCAATGAGAGCGGCAATGATTGCGCCCAGCAAGTCGCCGATGTAAATGGCGGAGGCTGTCACGGACTGAAAGGATGAAGACAGAGCGAGCTTGCCGTTGGTATCGCAAATATTTCCATAGTCATTCTTGAACTCCTGCATAGCTAATACTCCGTTGTAATATGTATTATCGTAGCCATAGCAGAGAGCTCCAATGGCCGAAACGGCGCAATAGAAGATTGCCCACTTGTAATGAGCCCAGTTATTTCGTAATGACATATCGATATTGCTTAAGGGTTGACGCCAATAGAGTCTAGACTTTTGTCCAGGGGCACAGGTGTTTCGAATATTGTGTAACGTTAGGAGTACAAGCAGAAACGCTAACTTAGATCACAAGAGAAAGAGATGAAAGATGCGTCATTTGAAGAACCCAGGGAAAACAATCAGGAATGGGCTGTAGTCTCGAGTTATGAGGAATTCCATGTTGAGGCGTCTGCAGTTTTTGTGGGGTGTAAGTCTGGGGAAACTTGCACAATCCGGGGAAGCTGGCTCGGATCCGCCTCCTGAGATTTCCCAAATGAGAAAATCCGACGTATCAACCGTACTAGATCAAGATTATTGCAACAACGCTTGCTTTTTCGACGAGGTACATGCCCCCATGTATGATGGAAGGCGGGGTTGATCAAGTGAGGGGGCATTCAATCTTCTGGTTACTAGGCCGTCCCTCACCTAAGATCGTACCGGTGCTGGGATGAGTTGACGAGGCAACTTGCGTAGTGGGATTTCAGGATTGGGCAACCATCATGTCAGTCAATAGAAACTGGTAAGAAAACTTCCAAAGGTTCAAGTGTTGAATATCTTAAAGTGACACCATTCGATGTTTGCATACCATAGCTACTCCTCCCTGCTGGCCGCTCTTCAGCCTGAGTTCAATCTTTGCCAGTTGGTGATCAAGTAGGTCACAGTGCTTGAGTGGAACCTTGGTTCGCCAATTCCAGGTCAGCTGAGGCAGCATCTGGCCCTTGTGCTGATCGTAGCTTTCCGGCAGCGAGGCTGGCTACCCAAGCACGTATCTCTGGCGGCACTCCAGTTCGTTCGTTGGGGACTGTGATTTCCTCGATGTTTCCATCGCGAGAAATAGTGACCTTCTCGTTCTCAATCTTTATCCAACCCTTCTGGCAGGCCGCAGTCTACTCGTCTGCAAGCAAATATGTACCTCTCGAGATTTGAGAGACACCCGCCGATCGGCTTTTGCCAAAAAGAGCAGTCCGCGTTGGCACTGGTCGGAAACATGCCCGATACAACTAGTCCGATGCGGGGAGAAAGCATGAGGGGGAATGCCTAGCATGAGCACACAGAAGCGGAGAGGGGACAGTCGCTTGGGTGCATCAGCGTCATCAGAGACGGAATGTAAATGTCGCACCGGTTTGGGTTAGGGAATGACAAGTACTAGAGCTCACATAGCGCCTCATAAAAAGGTTAATATGTGACATGATGCTTCAAATTCCCCTCGAGGCTCGAAACACTTGTATCCTCCAACCTCACGCATAAAACTGTCGCTGCATTATCACTACAACTATTAGAACTCGCTTCAATATGTCTTCCAAGGTTCTACAGGTTGGAGTCATTGGCGGTGGCGACGTTGCACAAATCGTGCACCTTCCAACGTTCATGTTCTTGTCCAGCCTCTTCAAGGTCGCCACCATTTGCGACATTTCACAAAAGACGGCTGATCATTGTCGTGACAAATTCAAGATTCCTCGCGCGACCACAAACCCGGATGACATCTTCAATGACCCAGCCATTGATGTTGTCGTCATCCTGACATCTGACGAGTATCACGCCCCGTACACGATTGCTGCGTTGAAGTTCGGGAAGAACGTCTTGCTCGAGAAGCCCATGACGCTTAGCCTACAAGCTGGCGAGGAGATTATCGATGCTGAGACGAATGCCCCCAACAATGCCCGCGTCTTCGTGGGTTACATGCGACGTTACGCTCCAAGTCTCCAAGCCTTCAAACGCGAGATTGCATCCATTGACAAGATCAAGTACGCTCGTGTCAGGGATATCATCGGCCCCAATGCTTATTTCATCGGGCAGTCGGGGGCATATTCGCAGAAATACTACGATGACATACCAATGGAGGCGTCAGAGGACAGAGAGTCGCGACTGGCAGTCCTGCTAGGTCAGGCATGGGGACAAGAGCCAGAATCGCTTTCAGCCGCGCAGATGGACTACTGCTGTCTCCTGGGCAGTCTCGGAAGCCATGGTCTCAGCTTGATGAGGGACGTTTTGGGTGGTCTCCCAGAATCAGTGCTTGCATCGACGGACAACGCGCGCTGGTACACGACAATGTTCGAATACCGGAATGGCACCGCCCCTGACGACCGTTTCACGTGTGTCTACGAGATGGGCATCGACTCTGTACCAAGATTTGACTCTCAAGTCGCTGTCTACGGAGAGAACAAATCAGTCACAATTTGTTACGATACACCATTCGTTAAGGGTCTCGGAATCACGGTGGAGATTGACGAGCTGAACGAGCATGGGGAAAAGTCCCACAGATCTCTTCAAACCTCCTACGAGGATGCATACACTGCTGAATTGAAAGAGTGGTACGAAACTGTGGTCCGTGGCAAAGAAGTCAAGACGTCCGCCAAGGACGCTCTGAATGACTTGAGGCTGTTTAAGATGATGATGGATAAATACCCCGATCACAAAAAGATCAAGGATTCATCTAGCAACACGCCCTTCTTACCCAGTGGCCCTTGAGTGCCATGCACAACTGCGCATTACAATATCTTTACTGAGTTTAATAAACTAGTAATCTTGCCTGAACTTGAGCTACTCAAAATATCGCACACTCGTAAACAATAAGAGAGTACCTTGACCGTTTGATGTCACTGGGTTCTGATTGTAGGCGTTGGTAATGTCCCTGGGTTGCCAACCCCGGACAATTTTCGGCGACTTTTTCCCCGTCCCCTCTCCCCCCTATCCATCTTTCCCTCTCGCCATAGGATCCCCGTTGATGTCAATTTCTACATTCTCAATATGCTGTACTTCAACTGGATTCCAGGTCATCACACTGATCTCAGTACAACTTGCGTGCTATAAACGTCGTCTGACCTAAAGCTAGGGCTTTCACGCTCCCAGCTCCCACGTACAGTATCTATGGACACCTTTGAGGAAAATCAGGAATCAGGAGTAGCGGCTCCAAAACCATTTCGACTTCGATCCGCGTGCAATCAATGCCACGCTGCTAAGGTAAGTGACTGCGATTGCCTGGAAATGTATAATCAATCAACACGGCTGCCGGTTGGTTGCGTGGCATGCGACCATTGCTTACTCACAAGTCTGTCCCTGACAGGTCCGATGTTCTGGCAGTAAAGAGGGTTGCCCGCGATGCCTTTCCTCCGGACTTAAATGCCAACACCAAGTTTCCATGGTCGGTCGTGCGTCCTCCAAGAGACAGCGGCTCCAAGACAGCCACCACTTTTCAATGCCGTCACCGATACCCTTCTCTTCGAATCCACACAAGCCGCCACTGCACGTCACGGCCAATACTGGTCGCTGGAGCAAGTGCAACAACTTTCCTTTCCCGTCTACTATCCCGGCATTGGCGGTCACTGCTCCCTTGATGGTTGACGGGGATGGGAGCTTTCGAGTCGGAGACAATGACGGTTCAACAGGTTCGGGATCTCCCCCTGAACTGCTTTTCCCGACAGCCGACGCTGCCGATCTTCTTGGAGACTGGGCCGAGCCCTTCATTATTGCTGATGTGAACGTATCCGGCAGCCCATGTTCAGTAGGCGGTTTGACCGCGGAAAAGTTGCAAAACAACGTATATAATGAGAGGCTTGTTCTTTCCTCCTGGCAAGACAGAGAAACTCACGCGCCGCTGGAAGGAGAGCTTTACGACGATTCGAGTCTGACATTATCATCAGAATCGCGGCGCGACTCCCACTCACACGACGTGAAGCGGAACCCACCCACAGCCCTGACCAGCATCATCGAGCGTTTGGAGCTCTGCTCGCAGAACAGCCGGTCTACCTTGGACCAGATCGTGTCCGCCAACCGATGGGCAATGACCAGACTGCCCTCCATCATGGCGATGGATGGATTCCATCGGTGTCACAGTTGCTCGGCTCTTGTCGCCACCGTTCTCGACCTGATTCTATGCATGTACAAGTCGGCATTTGAGTCAATACAGCCCGATACCAGAGATAGCGACCATTTCGCCATCGAGCAACCCGATGGCCCCTCGCGAACCCAGTCCCACGGCTCGCCGGCGCGATCTGCCCTGGCTTCGTCGGATGCCGACCGGCAGGATGGGCAACAACCCCGATTCTACTTTGGATGCGTGGAGCTCGATCCCGATGATCAGATCATGCTGCGGTACATGATATTAAAGAGAGACCTCCTCAAATGTGTGGAACTGATACAATCCTGCCACGAAAGCCGGAAAAGACTGAAGCAGACGAGCGGAAGTCGTTCAGAAGACGGCCATGGCCTACGAGACCAAGAGAAAGTCGCTTCTGAGGAGCGCAATGACTCGCAGGAATGGTGGTATGAGGAGATGCGAAAAAGGGCGAGTGAATTGCTAGCATGTTTAGACTCGAAAGGAGGCAAGTATGCCAAATAACAGTAGAACGATTGTTGAGACAATTCTGACCATAATAGCTGACTATCATCAAAACACTTATTTACAACAAGATTTATTTATGCAGTAGCATGATGAAGATTTGTCTGCTTACCTGGGTTAGAAGCAGCATATGAACACCGCTCGCATGTCAGGAGATCCGTCGAAGCAGGTTACTATTAAGGAACTGTACATAACCCACCAGTAGACCATGAGCATGAGTTTTGCTGTATAAGGCAAAAAAAGAAGGACGACTACGATAGGAACTATGATATTGACGGGAATATCGATACTAACAGCAAGTGGGATGGAGATAAGGGAGGCAAGATTGGTCCCTGAACATGGTGTAAACAAGGTGCAAACAAGGTAATGTCGGTTCAAAAAGCAAAGCAGACCATCGTCTTGGTGTTCTTTGCTCTGTATTGCCATAGATTATGCCAATTGAGGAACGACGAATGCGCCGTTATTAGATCTACGACCATCCTTTCACGGGCATTTGGCCTTCGACGATCTTGAGACCGTCCCCAATCCTTTGCAATTAGACTCGCAAACTTAATCCCGACATATCACAGACAACTATGTTGATTTTGACCACATGCTTTGACCATACACTCATTTGAAGACATTCACACAGTAATGTCTGATCCCTGGATTTACTCTCGCGACGTGCTTTCGCAACGTTACAGCGGGCCTTTACCCTTGCACTACTACATCGGTCCTTTGCCCTCCACAGCGGCCCGTTGATTAAAATCCCGCAACCGTTCGATTTCTCCGCAACCTTGATGGCCAAGGCATCGCAATAAGATCCCTGCTAGCCTTAATCCTTCGGGACGCGCAAGCATAGGTTCTTTTGACTATCTTCTTACCCGAAACAAGCTGTTTTAGTGTCTGCTGGACATCAGCAGCTGAAGACATGTGTACAAACGTCATTCAGCAAAGTGTCCTGCTGAAGTTCGCGGGGGATTGGATTTCAACGGCAAGGCTAGATTCAACGACACGAAATCGCCTGCTCCTATTGTTCGCAAAAGTCATGTCGATATGGACGGCTTTAATTACCAGGTAGGTAACGCACAGATTCCTAGTATCATAGGAACACAGACATGAAGATGAGTGGAATGATGAGGGGCATTGTGGCTCAAAACCAGGACATTCAAAAGTGCCTGCCCATAGTTACTCTTGCGATAAGACTTGGAGTGCAATGTTGACTAGTTAACACTACTCAACTCTACTAATCTCTTTCAGTGCGACTCATCTCAGTCCGCATTCTTTTCAGTGTACCACCGGCCGCTAGAAGTATGTTTTCACATATTCCCTTACCCTCCTGGCCATTGAGCTGCTGGCTCACCACAGCAGCCCATATCTTGGTCCAGAGCATCATAGTCTTATCGATTTCCCCAATAAAGACCTGCTTGAACAGCCCCCTCTGCGACTTCGCGTCTATCTCGAAAGTGCCGAAGCCGAAACCGATGCCGGGGATCTGGAGATGTGCCACAGCCTCCCTGCTGCCGCCGCCGCTGCCCCCGCCCGGAGTAGCCCGGCCAAACCCGGTCTGCGACCATGAATTGTAAAGTTGTCGGTACGAGTTGACAACAGCGTGCATAAAAAGCGTGCACAGCATGAGGTCCGATCCGCTTCTTTCCCACTGGTCAATGTCCGCGAGCACCTTCGTCAACCCGCAAATGACCGACTTGTTTCTGGCCATGGTCAGGTCTGGTCGTAGGTGCGGATGTTCCTCCCGCCTACATAGCTGCTCCAGCAGGTGAACGCCGTTCAGCGGCAGTCTCCGCCAGGTGATCGGTGCCTCTCTCAAGTTTGGCTGGGTCTCTGGCGTAGTCGAGCCGCCAAGCTTTCGACTGGGGCTTCTGCTGCCGAGTTCCGAGTCATCCTGCCGCGTCGTCCGTCTTACATGACTTTGTACAGCGTCTTGACGCGGAGGCTCCCAATCATCTTGATGCCTAGAGGACTGCTGGCTCCCCGGTCGGTCTTCATGGCAAGGTTCCAGGAGACTCTCGTCGATCCCGAAAAAGTCATCGTGGGGGGTTTCCTGGTTGAGCCATGGCATGGATGGCACCTGCTCCGGCAGAGACGAAAGTGGTACGCGTTCAAGGTCCGTGGTGTCGTCGATGGTGGTCGCTTGGGGAGACAAAAGCTGAGAGAGCTGGGTGAGCTGGTCGAACTGGGTGAGCTGGTCATACGGGGATGCTGGCATGACCGGCGAGGTTTGCGCAGCCTCGACGTCGTCTCCGGATGACGATTTTGCCCGGTCCTCGGGCTTTGAGATGCGTTGGCCGTTGGAGACGGAGACGTCTATGTCTTCATAGCGAGCGCGCTTGTTGTGACGATTTGAGCCCTGGACTTTGCCAGTCATGGAGATGCTGTAGCAGCACTCCAGATTGTTGAGAAGGCATCTCTGGCATGAAGGCTTGTCACTGCTGCACTTGACCTATTGATAGGTGTCAGTACGGACAAATGGGTGACCAGCGAACTGGGACGGCGCCTCACTAGCCTTTGCGAGGTGACAAGCGTCGCAGGCAGCACGAAGCCGGAAGGGCTTTTGGGCAGACAGCCTTGTGTTGGACATGATTCGGTGAAGGTGAGCACACAACCGCGTTAAGGTGGTGTTGTGCTCGTTAAGACGGCTTGGCATTTAAATGATATTCGCAAAATCTTAAATGGTTCTTTCATGATAACTTATGGAAACATTTTAGTGTTCAAATACCGCGGTACGATAGGCACATTAGCCCCCTTGAAACGAATATCGTGGAGCCACACCAAGATGAGAATTGTAAGTTGTCTGGCTACACTCCCAATGGTGAGCGGTGTACTGGGCCTGCAAATTCAACAAAGAGATGCCTAACATGGAAGTATCATGTCTTGATTCCTGTGGGATCAAAACCTTGTAAGTGATGCCTACGCCAAGCTTTGCCGTACGGCTTTTCCGTGCGGCAGTAGTATAGTTTGCTCACTATAGATCGGGTTTATCGGACGTGGGCTTGACGTATCTCCAAGGATCTCGCAAGTTTGACTGCAAATCACTGCTTTTGTCAGCAACTGGGTATACCTATCAGGTCAACAATGCGTACCTGTCCGCACCTGCGCGTGAACCCCGAAGGTCCCTGGTATGGATAGGCAGACAAAAACTGGGGTACGGGTTATCAGGCACTACGCCGCCTCTGGGTTAATCTTTTGGAGTCGATCGCCCTTCGCGACTTACGCCGTAGCCCGAGTTGTTCGGACATGTTTCCGCCTTCTCGCTCCTGATTGAAACATGAAACCCCTTGAAAAGCTAGGTTGAGAGTTTGAACGTGCAGAATATGCCTAGTTTGATCGCGCGTTATCGAGCTGTGCCCTTTTGTCACACCAGTGCACTTCATACATTTAGGCCTCACTCCAGATCGGACTTCGCCAAATGTTGCCAATAAGGTCTTTTGGGTAAGATGCTTCCTAAACAAGGCGTAATACAGCAGATGTGTGCTTCAGACGCCGTAGCTGAAGGGGCACAGCCTTAACGAAGTGAGTGGAGCGAAGGTCATGTCGCCTTGGCCGCTCGCTGCCTTGCGACTCTCCGACCCTCCGGCGCTGCTACACTCCGACAGCCGACGTTCGTGCAACCCTGTCATCAGGCAAGACTCTCTTGTACAGGAAGTAAAATTGAAAGCATTCATCTCAACCACCTCATTCATGAAAGACATCTGGACTCTGACTGATTCGCATAAACTGCCCTGTCCTTGCTTCCCACCTGCCGCTCCGGTGCTAGCTCCGCAACGGTGGCTATGTTCTGAATCAAAAGTTCCTAACAATCATATGCCAACATGTATGGTCGGTCACCGAAGCTCTTGAGCTGTCGGAATGCGACTTACTGTTCTTCTTGGTATGAGAACAGGCAGGGGAGAACGCAGGAACCCTGCGTATGTTGCAAGAACTCACGAAAATCGCAACACTGTAATTCACGTATTTAATCCCTTCTCTAAGATAGCAACTCAAAGGGATAACACACAGTTGCATCAAAAACGACAAGAGACCGCAATGAAAATGCCACAGGTCACTCCCCATCAGAGCATAAACGAGGAAGACGTCCGAACCGCGCTCCGAATTCTGAATGAAGTTCCTCTGATAGGTATGCGGTGACTCCAAAGACACAGGAGAAGAGTACTGCAACCTTTCAGATCCCACATGGCTGACGTACCACCTCAACTAGACGGGCACAACGACTGGCCTTGGAACATTCGGGGATGGTACAGCAATGACATGAGACGGACCGGGTTCGATCTCAACTCAGTGTCCATCGGCCAGACCGACATTGGACGACTAACACGTGGACGAGTAGGAGCACAGTTCTGGAGCGCGTTTGTTCCCTGGTTTGTCGGCATTTCTAGCCTGTTCCCCGCCTTCCAGTTCCCACGCAGGAACGGCTGACTTGCCTGTATTCCGGCAGCCCCCGCGGTCCCGCCCTGACAGGCCAAGAGACCCATGGCGAGTCACACCTCGAAGCAGTCAAAAAGACCCTGCAACAGATCGACCTGCTACATCTCATGATACAGATGTACCCCGCCCACTTCGCCCTCGCCAAGAACGCCGCCGAGGTGTTGGAGGTTTTCAGCAGCGGTCGAATCGCCTGCATGATTGGGGTCGAAGGATTGCACCAGATAGGCAACAGTTTTAGTTGCCTGAGGCTCTATCGTTCTCTCGGTGTCCGATACGTCACATTGACGCACAACTGCAGCAACCCCTATGCCGATTCAGCTGTAAGTACCAAGCCTGGATGGTACTGCACCCGGGGGCCCTGTTGATGCAAACCACACACCTTATCTAGACGGCCCCATCTGTTCATAGTAGAGGGCTTTCGGAAGAGGGGGAGATGATGGTGCGAGAGATGAACCGGATCGGACTGCAAGTAGCCCTTCATTCGAACTCATGTATGCTGTTATCTTCACAGAAGCTAATTTTCTCAAGCATGATCGATTTATCGCACACTAGCAAAACAGTACAGGAACGGGTCCTTGGCCTGAGCCGCGCCCCTGTCATATTCTCACACTCCTCCTGGTAAGTGACTGGCTCTATCATTAGCACTCTTGATGAGTCCAGAGCTGCCTTCTGACGTGGTCATTGGCGCAAAGCTACTCGCTCTGCCCTCACCTGCGCAATGTCTCAGACAACGTTCTGGACAGCCTTAAGTTGAACGGCGGCATCATCATGATTTGCTTCCTGCGGGAGCTGGTAAGCCCTATCAACGGCGGGGAACCAAGTCTGCAAGATGTGATTGACCACATAATCTACGCCGGAGAAAGAATCGGTTACGATCATGTGGGCATAGGCTCAGACTTTGATGGTATGCTCAAAGGGCCCGACGGCCTGGACGAGGTGTCTGATTACCCTCAACTTGTGGCCGGGCTTGTGAGCAGAGGTGTCTCTCCGGACAACATCAAAAGAGTTATCGGCCTAAACATTCTCCGGGTGATGGAAAAGGTCGACTCTGTGTCGCGCACGATGATGCTTGACAAGAGTCATCTTCCGGAGTGCGACGCAGTAGCCAGTCCCTGGACGGATGAAGAACGTGGCATGATGTATCAAGAAGGGCTTCGAAGAGCCAGAAGATAGGAATTAGGGTGATTAGTTTATACTTTGCAGTACCCAACATCGCGGATAATTCGTTATGCTTCGCGAGCAAACTGACTAATTTGTAACGACGAGTTGGCTGGAGGTGTTTCGCAACAGGATATATTGAACAACTTTTGCCACCGAGATGGAAGATCTCCGTCACTCTTGTGACTACAGACAGTAAGTGCAACTACGAATTTGATTGCTAGGAAACCCCGCGTGAAAGTCATGTAAAATGGTTTCATCAAACTAGTATGGGTCTGTTCCACCGCCACTTCGAAGCCTGTAGGTTCGTCGTGCGTGATTGGACTAATAATATGTACCCGGTCAATATTGATGTCTTAAAACTTGCTCAATCTAGACCTGCATGCTACACCTGGTCGCTTAGTACTGGAACATGCTTCGGTCACCGAGCGTGGAGCATGGCAGAAGTCACATTAGCCCCCAATGATGTTCATGTCTGCGCCTCGCCAAGGTTCCAGCATACCCGGATCCTTGGATATATGCACTTCCTAAAGCATCGGTATGAATGGCGAAGAAGAAGAAGACGGGGGAAATTTCCTCGGCCGCCGCTGCGACTCGGTGACCGCAGTTTCCTCGTGCAGCAACCACATCGTTCCAGACGTGGGGGCGAGGGGACACCGTTCTTCACCTTGAAATGGAAAAAATGAAAGTTTCAACAAGAAAACTAGCGAAATACGCATGGTGAGAAGATTATCAACTGAGACTCTTCCTCACAGCCCAAACCACATATTCAAAATTTCAGACGCCTCGTCCTCTTTACGGCCACTCATCCATCATCAAACCAAGCACTCTTTCCACAAGTCACATACCATGGACTCCTCTGTAACCTTCTCTTACAACATTTCTTTTACCACGGTAGTCAACGGCCCAGAAGATGGGACTAAGCTCACGGCCGTGGATCTCTGGGCGGGTGTTGCTCACGTTGCGCGGATGCCACAGGAATTCGCCCCTTACGTGGCCAAATGTGATGTGTTGTGGGAAACGGTAAACGGAAAGAGGCTTGGACGGGCTATCACTCTCGGTGACGGTGGTGTCCACACGGGCAATGGGCAGGTATTGTACCAGGGGGTTTCTGTCGCGGACAGATTACAGGTATGGGTGGCACGTGTTACCGAAGGGCACATTTCCCTTCATCCTCCCCCTCCCTGGGCAAACAGGCTCTCTTCAGCCGGGCTGACTCACCATATCTAACAGGTGGAGGCAACAACGCTGGACATAGGCGCCAAAACAACCTTCCTTGTCTCTTACCTGTCAAACGCGTCTGTTTCCCCAGAGTCGACGGACATCGCTTTCACTGTCATTTATGAGTTAAAGCTGGTTGGTGTGGAGCCGGGAAGCGAAAAGGCAAAGGAAATCGAAAGGGACTATCCGGAGCTTGCGAGGAAGGCGTGCGTTGATACTGTGAGGCAGATTAGGGAGAGTAAGGTGGATGGGAGGATGGCCGCGTGGGCGAAGGCGTCGAGGTAGCCCATCTTATTTGCGTGATCAGACGCGAGACACTAAAGCGCTAGAAAGATGGATGTCTGCATAACCTTTGCTTGAGTGCTATCTGGTAGGCCATGTAAACAGCCTAAAAAGGTTGTTAATGTTCCAAGAACTACAGCGCAAATTCCACTTAATTAGCCGCGGAAGTAGATCTGAACTACCTATTTTGATAAGGGGATAACTCGCCACCCACCATACACGAACGTCGTGCATCACTCCGGGGGAGGGATATGCTTAATGGCATTTCCAAGATGCCATGTCTTTTAGGGAGTTGACAATGAGCATCAATGACATATTTTTGTACAGTATTCTCGAACCAAGGTAATTACACAAATCGACTTAATGTTACAGAATGATAACACGCACACCCCGGGTAGGAAAGGAAATGAAAACAAGGAAGCTGGACCATCGAGTTATACTACGAGAGTATAGTCTTGGTCACTGCAAGATGGCATCCCAACGGTTCAGGCTTATCGGGAGTAGGCCCTGGGGATTTCAAGTCTCGCAGAAGCCTCGCTGATTCAAGCAGTGTTACCGTGATGTAACACTTGAAAAGCCTCATGCTTCTTCTGCTAAAAGGCAGGCTTGAATCGTACAGACACCGACTTCCAGGCCTTACTTCGGGCTAGAATCAACAACCACCAACTCAGAGTTTGCGCGCAGCGTCTTTTCGCTTGCCGTAGATTCCTCCGTGCTTTGCAAGGCAGCAGGACGAAGTTTCTCCCACTTCGGAAAAAGACCGGCAATGACGCTTGCAGCCATCATGGCTGTGGCCACAGCAAAAGCTCCCTGTATACCCTCGGTATATCCGTCAAGGATGAGAGGAAGCTCTTCAGGCGTGAAGGCTCGTCGCAAGTCCGATACCCCGGTGGTCAGGATATAAGCTGGCGAAATTTGCGGGGCTGTCCTAGAGAGGCGCCTTAGGAGGAGGTTACCGAAGACTGACTGCGCGGCAGACACAGAGAAAGAACCGCCGAGAAGCTGGAAGAGAAGAGTCATGGCGGAAGTGGAGCCCACGTCGGTAACGTCAACGATAGCCGTGTTGCTCATCACGGGTATCTGGGATACAAAGCCCGTCGTTGAGCCGGCGAGAATCTGGTACCCAACCCACTTCGCAGTAGACGTATCAGCATTGAGGGTACACAGCAAACCACCACCCACAGCACTGAGAGCGGCGGCGGGCAACAAGAATGTGAGCCACCGGTTTGTGGCGCTAAGAAGAGCCCCCGAGGCCATTGAAAAGAGACCTCCGATGAGAAACGGGAGGTTGTGAACGCCGGACTGGAGAGGAGAGTCGTTCCGTAGCGACTGGAAGTAGATGGGAAGGTAATAGGCCAAGATGAACTGGCCTCCCGAGTTGAAAAAGACGACAAACTGGTTGACAAGGATACGTCGGATTTTGAGCAGTCGAGGAACGATGGACGCCCTCTCACCCATCCAGATTTCGTTCACGCCGCAGGCAATGGAGAGGAGACCAAAGCCAATCAGCGTGCCAATGACGGTGCTGTTGGACCACGATTTCTCGAGCCCGCCCCATTGCAGTGCCAGCAGATAGCAAATGACAGATGTCAGGATTAGGCTACCGCCTACCGGATCCAACTGCAGCAACTTCTCCTGCCATGTAGCTTTTAGGGGCTTCGCATGTTCCGGATTATTGTAGAATGGAATAAGAAGAGCGATCGCAGCCCCTCCGATAGGGAGATTGATCCAAAAGCACCAGCGCCATGTGACGTTCTGAGTAAAAGCGCCGCCGACGATGGGACCGATGAAGGAGGCCATGGCGTAAGTAGCGCCCAGAACGCCCATGAATGCGGGACGGAGCTCCTCTATGACTGTGTAGCCGATTATGACAAAGGTGCCAGTGGTGAGGCCCGCAGCACCAACACCGGCGATGGCACGGCCAGCGATGAGCGTTGCGCTGTTCTGAGCGACAGCACAAATGATGCTTCCCAGCTCGAAGATGGCGAGAGTGAGGGCGTAGGTCCACTTGATGTCGAAGTACTTGTAGGCATTTGCCCAGGTAGTCTGGAACGCGGCGAATGTCAAGAACGTTGCCGATCCATACCACCCGATGTCTGCCAAAGTCTCGAACTCGTCGGTGATCCTGGGAATGGCGGCAGCGAGGATAGTCGTGTCGAGGTTTGCGGTGAGCATGCCCAGGAAAAGAACCAGCATGGTAGCTGAGAGCCGCCCGTTGCTGAGGCCGGTGCCAATGTTTCGCATGTTTGCTGTTGGTGTGCTCTGCCGATTATTCTTAGACCAGGTGTACCTAGTATGCGGTGATGGTTCGGCAGAAGAGGCTCTTGTATACCCTAATACTGCGCGATGAAAGTAACAAGCCAACGAGTGACCCATACTTGAGGATGATGAATTCAGTCTGATGCACATCACGCCCTCCTGAGTAAGGTTGCCGTGCCTTGCAAACACCCCATCGACGGGCCGTAGAACAGCGGAAGCTGCTCCGTGTAAGCCAAAGTGGATCTCGGTGTTTTGTTTGGCCAATCAGAGAGCCCAAAATACTCGCCGGACTCCGCAACGGGCCGTTGTTGAGCTACCTTCGGCCCCACTTCCGGCAGGAAGGCCGCAACTCCTAATGCTACCTTAAATACAAAAAGTCTCCGAGGTGAGAAATGTCTGGCGCAATTTAAAGCTCGGAAGCGAAGGAGTATGTTTTGTCATTACATTGACACCATTTCTTATCTTATTTCACTTTTGCTGCCATCTCTGAAGCTCAGTCCGGGTGCATACTTATGCGTTTCCCCCCCCTCGCTTGTTCGTACTTCTACTCCGCCTCCGTCGCTTCTACTTTGCTTCCACCGACTTCTACTTTGCTTCCACCGACTTCTCTTCTTTCCGTCACCCCTAATATCACTATGCCAATCCATGATGTCCTCATCATTGGCGGCGGACCAGGCGGCCTTGCCGTCGCCACCGGCCTTGCACGTCAGCTTTACACGGCTGTAGTCTTCGACTCGGGCGTCTACCGCAATGCCCGTACTTCACACATGCATAATGTGCCTACGTGGGACCATAGGAACCCCGCTGATTTCCGATCTAAGGCGCGCTCTGACCTCCTCGCTCGCTACGAGACCATCACCTTTGAGGAGACTAACGTAGAGTCTCTTCGGCGCAATAGTGAAGGTCGTTTTGAGGCGAAGGACGCCAGAGGTGCTACATGGACTGGGAAGAAAATCGTCCTAGCGTCTGGTATGCGTGACGTCTACCCCGAAATCCAAGGATACGATGACGTTTGGGGTCGGGGAGTGTAAGAGCGCACCAGAAAGAGCCCGGCAAGACTGGGGATGGGAGCAATCTTAGCTAACGCGCTTGTTCTCAGGTACCATTGCCTGTTTTGTGACGGATTCGAGGACAGGAACTCGGCTTCAGCTGGCGTCCTGGCTGTGGAGGACGTCGCTAAAGCACCTGTTGCGCTCCATCTGGCACGCATGGCCAAGCGATTGGCAAGAAAAGTCACCATTTACACCAATGGCGCCTCGGAACTCAAAGATCAAATTGTCACTTCGCTTGGCAAGGATCCTATCATAGAGCTCGATGACCGCCGAGTGATCCGACTGGAAAAGGTGAGGGAGGGTACTTCAGAAACCATTCTTCATTTGGAAGATGGGACAAGTATCTCACAGGCCTTTGTTGTAAGTTGATTTCATCTCTCGCCCGAGGTCTCATTTTCACCTCGTCTCATGCATTCCTGTAGGTCCACAAGCCAAAGACCCAAGTAAACGGGCCGTTTGTAGAACAGCTCCAGCTGGAGTTGACCGAGGCGGGCGCCATCAAGACTAGCCAACCGTTCTACGAGACGACAGTTCAGGGGGTCTTTGCCGTTGGTGACTGCGCAAGCACAATGCCCGCCGTTGTCAACGCGCTGGCTATGGGCGCTTTCGCGGCTGGCGGGCTCGTGGCTCAACTTGGGGCCGAACCTACTCCATAGATTCCAACATGTTCCATATGTGTGTTCAGTAGAGATCATGGCAGAAAGCAATTGATACACGTTTCATAGCGCACTGGCGTCTGGGGACAAAATGTCGCCCAATAATGGTTCTCAGATATGATGCCCACAGCACCGACGAACAAACGTAAATGTCTGTGTTAACATATGCAGCCATTACGAGGCACGATGAGACGGAGATTACTCTGTTGTTTGGGATCTTCAACTTTGCATCTGAATAATACAACAGTCGCATTCCGAAAATCAAGTCTGTATGAACCCTCGAGCCAAATGTGTCATATTTAGGTACGTATCTATTAAGAATTGAAATGACAATACTAGTCCAAGTCCAAAAATGGAGCAATATCAATTTTCTTCCTAGATTGGACGAAGATCAATGGCTGAAGCCCAGGAGTTCCGTATGTCGATTACTCGGTGAACTTTCCATCCTGCTAGGCCAGCCAGACGCTTCCAATCTCCCTCTGTTCTCTCTCTGCCGTTGACAGTCATCATCATGAGAATATCAGCGTACCGGGCAAGACGCCCGCTCCGACCGGGCCGCTTCGACCGGGCCGCTTCGTCGACTCGAAGATGATGAAGCGTGCGACGGGCGAAGGGATCAGCCTGGCCCGCGTATTTCTCAAGATTCGTACCACATCATTGTCCATCCAGTTGTGCAGACACCACTTAATGGTATATACCGAAGCTGCTGGAATGTCGCCAAAGAAGTCGCCAGCCTTCGCAGACATGCGATCGGCAACGTCGACGAAGCGGCCGTTGGCTCCCCCACCGGCCGCAATCTCCGGGGAAACAATATCGGCGATGTGCTTCAAGTCGACCACGACGCCGCGCAGAGACGGGTTCTGCCGTAACACCGAAGCCAGAAAGTCGCCTGAGCCCGCGCCGAGGTCAACAACTACCTCATCATTCAGCTCTTCCCATGGGTAGTCGATCGTCAGTCCCTTGGACATGGCAACAGCTCCGGCGCCGAGAACGCGGTGGAAATACTCGCTCTTGCCTTGCGAGGCCAGGTATTCAAACAGAGATAGGTCGGTTTCGTACTCGATCTGGGCAGCATAGCGTGTCTCTCCTGTTCGGATAGCCGCAGGGATCGAGCGGCTGACATCGAAGAAGAAATTGGGGTACAAGTCAGCCCAGAGATGCCATTTTGTCCAGTGGTCTCGGCGAAGAAGAGTTGAGCAGCGGTTGTTGGAGAACTTCTCAGAAGACTCGTCGTATGAGAAGATGCCGTTGTTAACCAGTGCATCGAGTAGTTGCGTCAGGCGCGTCGGTTGCACACGGACGAGGGGCCCCAGCTCTTCAGCCGTCAGAGATCCATGACTATGAAGTATGTCTGGTATTTTGGCCTCTACCACGGCTGCCATAGCCTTGCTGTTCATGTAGCCTATGGACGTATTTGGCGTCTGGTCAGCAGGTGGCTCTGGTGTCAGGTCGACAGTTTCGCCTGACTGTGAAGCAAAGGTGTTTGCGTACCGAAGAAACCATCAGCTAGCAATGTCATGGATGGAATCAGTCGCAACTGCAGGGCTTCCATGGCGTCTACAGTGTTTCGTGCCAAAGCTCCCAGGTCACGGTCTGGGAGCCTGTCGGCGTCGTGCAGCGCGCCATCGAGCTCCTGTGCTAGCTCTCCCGAGGAAAGAGTCTCTGTGGCTTCACGGATGAGGCGGTTAAGTGTCTCCAGCGTCGTCCTTATCTTGACAGAACTCATTAGAGACAGCGGCATGGCGTTTGTTGGCGTGCAGATCACTGTTTGTCATCGGAAGGAAAAAGGATTGTTCGCTTGGCGTTACCACCAGATCTCAAATATGCCAGTCGTGCTCTTAGGCGCATGGATCCTGACGCATCAGTTATTTTTGTAGCGAAACACTGCATTATTATGTGGTATACTTTGATTGATCAGTCCGAATGAGGTTTCGGTTGCGCCAGCGCCGATGTCGAGGATGAATCGGCTGCCGGCTGTGCTTACGGGGTCCGATGATAAGGTAGCATCGCCATCGGGCTCCGACGGCGACTAATCGAACACTATCTAGACTAGCTCAGGGAACCAGTGAAAGATCGCGGAATAAACGGTTTGGTTGCAGAAAGCATCTCGCTGATGGGAACGAGTAATTCACGTTTTCCCACAGGGTCACACTATCACGACGAGTTGCTTTTCTCTCATTTTGCCCACACGCAGTCGATTATTCTCAACTTCCTTCCACCATAGCTAACATGTTCGCCGAGCTTCTCTCGACATATCGACGGAGTCTAGACTTGACCAATGCCGTTGCTGTGGCCGCCGCTGTGGCATCGGCTCTGTTCGTGTTCTACTGGCGTCTCCGCAGGGCCACTGACCTCCATTCTGTCGGCATTCCCGTCTTTGATAGTCGTGATGACGACAACGGTATTGTGGCCACACTAGAAAGGGCACATCAACTCCATCCAGATACTCCTTTCGCTCTGGCTGTCCCCGGACAGCAGCTGGTGGTGCTACCCGTATCTGAAATCGAAACGGTCAAGGCTCTTCCGGAAGATCAGCTCTCCATCAAGAAGCATCACTACAACCAGTTCTTGGGGGGAACACTCGTACATGGGCACAAAAGCTGACGAGTTCGACGATGCGATGCGTAACGTCCTAGTGCGGAACACCCCCATGGTTCTGCGCGCCTTTGTTGCCGAAATTGGTTACGCAACCCGTGTGACCATTGGCGACAACTTGCCTACTTGGACCAAAATCACACCCAAGGCCGCCATGGCACGCATGGCAACTGTGCTCTCTGGCCGCTCGTTCGTCGGCCTCCCGTTAAGTCGAGATGAAGAGTGGATCGACGCAACGGTCGGCTTCACCGGCGATGTATCAAGGGCTTGGATGAAGGTGCGGTTCATCCCTCATCCACTTCGCCCCTTCGTTGCCCCTTTCTTTTCCGAAGTGAGGTCACTTGAGGCGCGAAAGGCCTTGATCACTCGAAAGCTAGGTGTCCTGCTCCGAGAACGGGAAAAGAAGCGTGATAGAGATGGACCAGCCGGTAGCGGAGCAGCTGGAGGCGAGCTCCTGGACTGGCTCAGAGACCAGTACTCCTCAGGGCAGCCCTCAGTGAAGGAGTTGACCCGTAACCAGCTACTGGCTACGTTCGCCTCCATATACAATTTGACCAACGCGTTGACTTACATGGTCTTCGATTTGGCTTCACATCCGGAATTCGTCGAGGAACTTCGCGCAGAGTTGCACGACGTTCTTGGTCAGGACGGCGTTATTGATAAAAGGACCATTATGCACCTACGGAAGCTTGATAGCTTCGTGCGCGAGTCACAACGCCGAAGGCCTACGTCACTTGGTAAGTCAAAATCTAAACAGGTCACGTCTTCGTGATTATTCACAGCGTTTCCGCTTGCTGACTTGACACGACAAAAAGTAAATATCCCACGTATCGTTACTTCTCCCAAAGGTTTGAGATTGACCACCGGCCACACGATCCCGCCAGGCTTCTTGGTCATGGTGCGTGCTCAGCCAATCAACTTGTCACCAAAGTTGTATCCGGAGCCTGAGAAGTTCGACGCCTTTAGGTTCTCAAGAATGCGCGAGCAGCCCGGCCAAGAGATGAAGTTTCAGCACACGTCGACCGGGAACGACAATATCAACTTCGGTCACGGTATTTGGGCGTGCCCGGGTCGTTTTTTCGCTAGTGCTCAGATGAAGGTCGTCGCAGCGCATCTCATCCGCAATTTTGACATGCGCCTAACTCCAGGGGAGAAGAAGCCCGTTCCTCAGTACGGCGGCCTTGCCATCTTCCCTGACGCGGTGGCTCAGGTCGAGCTGCGCTCCCGAACACCATAAGACATGGATCTCTTAGCGCTGGGTCCAGCCGGTAATCTGTGTCCAATGAAATATAAATCTTTGGTTGGCCCTTTCTCGTGCAAGTCTTGAAGTGGAACATTGGTAAAACTAGAGAAAACCGGAAGCTCAGATAGATACATACGAATAAAACTGGTTTAGTCTTGATCCATAATTCAATGCTGTTCCGAAGCGTTGCGCGGGTTTTGCCGCCCAAGACTTGCCTGAGTTACTTTTACCCACAGGAGTTACAATTGAGTGTCCCGTCTTCCTGTCATGACTCATGGTCTCTCGAAAAGTATTCTTCAATCTTTCATTCTACTGCCAATGTTTACTATGCATGCTGAAACACTCTGCCGGCAACATCTTTGACTGCTGAGTTCGGCTTTAGTCATCTCAGCTATGAAGCTTTTGAAAGATCCCCCGGTAGCTTTCTCCTGAATCGTGACCCATCTTAGAAACACGCTCCCTGGCCCTAAGAACCGCCGGTCGAGCAGCCATTCGTCGGCTCCAGTCCAAAGTGTGTGGCCATTTAGAAAGCTGGAGCCCAAACAAGGTCGCACAGGCTTCGTCAGCGAATGGCAGGGTGGCGATGTCGGCAATAGTTGGGCGATCTTTGAGCGCTAGATACATCTGCCCTTCCTGGGAGAGCCTGCCTTCAAGGATGTCGTACTGCTTCTCAATGTTGGACCGAAGCCTAGAGACACGCCGAACAAGATGTAAGCCAGTGTCTTTCCAAAGTTTGGATGCAAAACCGTAGCGGGGGCGTGTCTGTATTCCGCCAGTCCGAGAGAGAACATAGAGCTTCACATAGGAAAAGAGCAGAACAGCGTCAATCGCGCAGAACTTACTTTGCAGTGGTTTTGGGCACCCTCTCTGGGTGTAGCTTCTCAAAGTAAAGCCAGTACTTCGCCGTCGGACCAAGTGCCGCTGTGTGCAGAGTAAGCCAATTTCCCACCTCCGCTCTCTCGGCGACGTTGCGGCCGGAGAAGAGGCCGTTCTTATCGTAGGCATCTGAAAGATAGGTCAAGGTGGAGGTAGACTCCCAGACCTGGAGCCTCCTGTCGCTTCCCTCGGGGCTATCTTCGATGGCCGGCACCATCTTGTGTGGGTTGAGGCGCGCAAACCAAGGTTCGGAAACGCTTTGAACAACGTAGATTGTATGAGGAATTCCAAGCTCTTCGATCAGGATCAGGGGTTTGATCGTGTTATGAGTCGAAGTTGCCGTCGCTGAAATTATTTAGTCAATCATCTTCTCTGATTACTACGAGCAAAACCGAAATGAGCCAGCCTACCCTTGACAACAAAAAGAACTAGGCCTTCAGTTGGAACAGTTTTTGGACGATCCATTTTTGCTCTGTGTGGTGCTTTCGAGGCAGCTTTGGAGATGATGATGTTTTCTTTTTTTCGGCAGAAGCTTGAATCCTTGATGCAATATGTGTCTGAACCGGTCGCTGACAATATAGTGTTGCGCCGAGTGCATGAAAGTCTCGTCGGATCCCGAAGATTTGGACCCCACATGCAGCCGGCCCATCGGGTGCCGAACAACTTCCTGCATCTTGGACCAAATAAGGGACTGTGGCGCATCTAGCATCAAGCTAGATTTCGACATTGTTCGATTTAGCCTCCATCATCTGCGTTTCCGCTACTTGATAGTCTTTCCCATTCGATCATGACATCCAACGCTGTACTTTTCGCCGCTGGCCTGCTGATGCTCGATGTTCTTGCACTCTTGTTATGGGCCTTGCGACAGAGCAAAACAGACTCATATGAGACCAGGCATCTGTCTAACCAGGTATTCAAGGCCACAAGCGACTGGTCCCAAGAGAACCTCTCAAGCGACAAAAGAGGGGAGAAACGAGGGGCAATCTCACAGCGAGGTCAGAAGAATCTCGCATGGTTCTTAAGAAAGCATGCTGGGCATGTAGCTCGAATAGAAGCCAAGCAGCCACCGATTGATCTTATGACAGCCGAGAACTGGGTTATGCGAGACACTTTGACAGCTCTCTACAAGGATTATATCGGCGCCTCTCTATCTACCAGATCTCTTTCCTATGCAGACGGTCTTGGAGGCGACCCTTCGCTTCTGGAGGTATCAGCCAAGTTCTTCAATCAACATTTCAATCCAGCAACGGCTGTAGAACCGCGACATATCGTAACGGGAGCGGGATGCAGTGTGATTCTTGACAACCTCCTGTTCGACATTTGCGACTCCGGCGACGGCGTCCTTGTAGAAGTTCCTTTCTGGGGTAAGTCAGGATTATCTCAATAATCCAGGAAACTTGGTGTTTTCGTGCGTTGGGTTCTGACACTGCGCAACAACAGGCGGGTTCGAAACCAGTTTCATTCTTAGATCAGAGGCTGTGGCCGTCCATGTCCAGCCCACCGATCGATCGAGCGAAGTTGAGTCTTTCATCCGGGCTTATACGGACGCTCTAACGTCATCTAAACGCCGCATCAAAGCAGTGCTGTTCTGCAACCCGCACGATCCTCGAGGCGACTTGTATCCGCGCCAACATATCGAAGCGCTTCTTTTATTCTGCCAAAACTACGGTCTACATTTCATATCTGATGAGATCTACGGTCTTTCTACATTCCAAGACGGCGGCAGCGATAACGGGAAAGGCTTCGTGTCCGTTTTGCAATGCGATCTGGCTGCGCTGGGAGTAGAACCAGCACTCGTTCACATGATCTACAGCATTAGCAAGGACATGGGAAGTAGTGGATTGAGGCTGGTATGTGTCAAAACTTCATCCAGTATCTCTTGATTGGCAAACTTCAAGCGTCTAACTTGTATGGCTGCTGCAGGGATTTCTCGTTACTCAAGCACACCCCGATCTTCGCCTTTCACTAGCCATATCGAACCACTCCAGAGTCTCGACGCTCACATCCATAGCTGCTACTGCGCTACTATCAGACGAGAAAGGTCTCAATGAGATACTAGCGGAGAGCAAGATCAAGCTGGCCGCGTCGGCGAGCGTCATGATGGGTTTTCTCAATCATCACGGCTTCGAATTCATTCGTCCTGCCTGAGTGCAAGTAAATCGGTTACATGTTTTCACTGAGCCCCGTCGGCTACGTTGAGTACAGAATATTATCGAGGTTGTCCAATCGGCGATCAATCAAGACCCTCGGTCCCCGGAGCGGAGTCGACTCGATCGGTTTCCAGGACGCCGAGCCGTTTTCCTGTCCCCAGTAAACGGGCCGAATTGTATCGGCCCGCCACTCCAGCTCGAAAAAAGCTCCGTTCACCTACAAGTTTGCAGTAGCTCGTCTTCTGCGACACAGAGTAGGCTGGAGAACTGACCAAACCAGATCGACAACCGAGCAAAGTCAACATGCAAAGCGATCAAGCAGACAAGCCTCTCCTACCGAAGGCTGGACCAGTCTGGTACTTCGCGTATGGCTCCAATATGCGGTCATCTGTCATGGCAGGCCGATCCATCATACCCCAAAAGACCGCAGTAGCTCGTATTCCGACTCATGTCCTTACCTTTGACATCTTTGGGTTTCCATATTCTGAACCTTCGTTTGCCAGCATAGCTAAGCGCTCGCAAGTGACCGTCGACACTGTACTTAGTACAGACAAGAACATCCCTTTCGAGTCACTACCGGTGCATGGCGTGGCTTATCTGATATCACAGGAGGAATACATCCGTCTTGTCATCAGCGAAGGCGGAGGGGTGGCATACCGAGAGATCGATGTCGAAGCCGAGTTCCTCAATAGCAGCGAGGAGCCTATTCAGAAAGTTATTGTCTCAACATTGGAAGCCAAGTACCCGTTCCGACCTAACGCTGCGCCAAGCGCATGTTATCTTGTGAGTCTGCACCCTTTGTTACTGTTCATTCCTGTGCTCTCGAGCTTTTGCTTACTTTCAACGATGCCCTATCCAGGGGCTGCTCGAAACTGGCGCCGCAGAACACAGTCTCCCACCGGAATACCAGGAATATCTTTCGAAGTTGCAGTGTTATGAGGCCCGAGCATCTCTACTACCACGTCTGCGAGCATTTGCTTTCTTGTCGGTTTGGAGACTAATCCTTCGGCAGCTCGTGAAGTACATGAAGGCAAACGTGAGCGAAGATGGGCACTGTGAGCAGTGGATAGAGAATCTGATCGTGTATGGATACGGAGCCATGTGGTTTTGTCACGGTTGGATTTACGCGCCCTTATTAGGTCGCGGAGATGGTAGATAGGACATGTTCCTAGTTACTATGATTGCCCAGAAATATACATTATTTTAAGATGCTCTGTCCCCTTGACTGCCCATATCTTGTGGTATATGCATAACTTGGTACTCACCTATGACACCAGTCCATAGATACACGACAGGTGTTGCCCCGCAGATTGTTAGGAACCATGTCACAGGAGATGCTCAACCCAACAGAGCGCTCACCCGTCTGACCGAACCACAAAGGTCAAGTAACCCTGAAGACTTAACTCACAAACCAAACCTTCAAGTACCGATATAATTATCTCTTCCATCACCAATCAATGACACTCGTCTTCGTAGCTGAGTCGGTAGAGCAGCAGTCTCATGGCATTCTTAGTGTGGTGATGGTAGCTGAAGGTCGTCAGTTCGAGTCTGACCGGAGACAATTTCCTTTTGCCACCCTCCATAGCACGGTTTTGACCCCAGTACATGCACTATCAAATATATGGCCGTGGTGGCTCCCGAATACGCGAATCGAGTAAACGTGAGTGTAAGCGTTGTAAATCTCAAAAGTATTTATTTCATGAGATAGCAGCGCTGACATTAGAAATAATTGCAACTAAAGTACACTAAGGCCTGCGCCCCCAAACGGCATTGAATCGTAGAAGGCTTCCAACCGTATCAACCTCCACCTTGATTTCACGTAGTACATCCTCAAAGTCTTGAGCTTGGATATTGGGGTCATCGGGTAGGCCTTGGTTGAGTTAGCAATGGATACAGAACAGCAAAGTTAGTCCTCACCTTTTGCAGCCATTGCGAAGTGCTCCACGACCTCTAGCAGATTTTGCTTCGCAATATCACCTAAACGACGGTCCAAACTGGCCACCCCAACAGGAATCTCCATGATTTTCTCCGAAACACCTTGGAGACCCTCGGCCTCAAGCCACTCACGGACCTGAAGCCCCACGCGCTGATTCCAGCCCAAACCTGGTAACATGCGTGCCACTAAGTCTGGAACCTATGTAGCACAGGATATTTAAGTTTCTGTTCTTCTGTGAGATGCTCGAGGGCACCCTCCACGAGCTACACATAGCCAGAGCCAGACTTTGCCAGCTCCACAAGACCCCTGACCGCATTTTTGCCGACCTCTGGCGTTGTTCCTGCCAGGACCAATCTCTGGTGCACAAGATCAAACGTCCCTTTCCAAGTCTCTGGCCAGGGCTCGGTCACCGACTGGACGTGGAAGCTCAGTTCGCCGGTCGATCCCGAGCTGGATGTCGGGAACATCGTCGGAGAAATGTCCGCACCGACGAGGATCGGCTCTGTAACCAGCTTGGATGCCTCGGCGAGCCAAAAGCCTGCGAGTGGCGGGAGTGAGCAAAGTACTCAGCTTCAGGTTTAAGTTGGGTGTTTCGGTGCCAAGACTCACCGTCAAAAGTCCCACTGTCGAGGATCTTCAACCCCCTCTGCTCAAAGTTGATTGGAGCTAGGATCAGCCCGCCCATGTACGACTGAATGAGGCCGTGCTGCAAACGTAGCCGCCTGATCTCTGCTTCATTGTAGGGCAGAAGGTAGTTGGAATCGGGGAGATGTTGCTGAGTCATGATGTTGCGATGTTGTCTGCCAGCGGAATAGCAAGTTCAATGGAAGCACCGAAGGATTGATATATTGTGTGAATGGATTGATTGTGCATCTCTCTTTCCTCTTAATGTAGCCTAAACTCTGGTTTCTAAATATTTTCTTACTCCTACCAGACCTTGCTGTCAAGCCTGCCGAATTACTCTTCGCCAGCATTCCCTCGGTGGCCGGAAGCCTGCTTGACCCTCCGATGACTATCTCGGTGACCGACAAGTTGAAACTTTCGTGACCCCGCGGTGTTACATCAGGATTCTCGGACACAACAGCCCAACACAAGCCCCACAAGATTCTCTCCATTTTGTTTGTAGTCTCGCAAGCCTTGGCATGCAAGCCTTCGTCTCTCCTTTTCTGACCCAGCCTCGACAATGCATGCCACGGAGTTCATCTTGTTGATATGACTTGCAAGTATTCCACAATTTAGGCTAAAACAACACCGCTCTCGAACAAATGATGCTAGGTGCCTCAATTTCGTAGCCTAGATAATGCACCAACGCATCCAGTCGTCCCAACCAACGAACATCAAATCTTTTCCAAACATGAGTGAATCAATATGCATGGGAGGTTTCTGAGAAGAGTCTTGCTAGTCGGGCAATGTTAGTTAGCTATCTGGGCAGTGTCCCCTAAAATTCGTGATTATAGATAGCATGATAGAAGTAGTAATAAGGATAACGACGACGACGACAATAACGATAATAATAATAATAGACGATAGTAATAAATAATAATAACGATAAAAGCGAGAATAGTAAATATAGTCACTTTTGAAATAGGCTACGGATTTGCGTGTGTGTGAACATTGCTCGATTAGCAAAACTCTCTGAGAAAGCCTCAAACTTCAAATGGTAGTAGCGAGCTAGTCAAAACAGACAACTTTCAAATACGGAGGGGTTTCAAGCTTCCACCAAGATTTCCATAAAGCCTTATGATCCTTCAAACGCGCCAGGCCACATCACTGGCGGACACAATTTATCAAGACGTCGGGCAAAGACACCCAGCTTTCGTCCTGAATCTGATGGTCTTGGCTTTCAGAAGACTCGCTGACAGACAGGCAATACTTGCTGAGCACTTCAGCCAGAAGTGCTCGGATCATCCTGTCCGCAACATGCTGGCCCAAGCATTTTCGGGGCCCGAATCCGAATCTGAAGAGATGATATCGATACTAGAGGAATTGTGGTGAGATGTAAGAATTTGTGCGCTGGTCTGCAAATCCAACTTACTTGCCGAGGTTGTAAACCTTCAAACCGGTGAGGGTTGAACTCAGTGCCATTGATCCAAAATGGATGAGCAACATTGATGGCGTGGCTATCGACGATAACATCCGTCTTTGACAGACTTCGTATTAGCTTGGAGTTCAAGAACCTTCAATTCATGAAACACAAGGCAAGTTTCAGACTCACATTCCGAGGAACGACGATGTCGCCGACTAACTTGTCGGCTGGCGCGGATTCAGGGTTGGAAAATGCTACCAGGAGAATTCGGCGGTCAACAACATACTTGAATGTGGGATTCGAGGGTGAGTATCAGTTACCTAAAATCGGCCGCAGCAGTGATGCCTCCAAGACACTGAAGGCTAAAATAGTGTCCGACCTGTTGATGTAGTCTTCCCACTCGGTTTCAGACAGCTGCCTGTGAAGTCGGACTTCCGTCCGCACTTCGTCCTGTATGGCTTGGTTTTGAGCAATAAGCACGTGGCTCCAGGCGACGGCACTCGTTGTAACGTCTAGATTTGCGTAGAGAGTCTCGTCCACGGTTTGCATGCACTTGAAGTGTTCAGTGTTAGCGAAGCCTGTTCTCGTTTCAACAATGAATGGAGGCGCATTGACGAGAAGTGATTGAACAAACCTCTTCAATGGTCAGGTATTCTCCGTGTTTCGCGTGCGTTAATAGCTTCTCAATAGCTCCATTCTTCTTGTGAGTAATAGATTCCTCGTAGGCATTCTTTATGAAGGCTCTCCATCTGCGCTTGAACTCCGCGAGCATTCGGGAGCCTCTAGTTCGAAAGACTTTGGCGAGAACAGTCCTGTTGAGTCCCCCTTTGATACCCTCCTGCCACAATCGCTCTCGAAGAGGCGCTAGGTTGAGAAGCGTAGCTTTCTGTGTTTCGGACAGTTCACCAAATAAAATGCTGGCTACGACGAAGAATGGATACGTCTTCAGCGACTCGGTCACTTGAATTTGGAACGTGTCGGGTGTATTTCCGGCTTTGCTCTCAAGATCTTGAATGAACTCGCGAGCCGAGGAAGTCATGAGACTCACGTAAGACTTCGCCGCTGGGAGAGAGAATGGATGTTCCCAAGGAATTCGCATGCTGGCCCAGCGGCTGCCACTCACCAGGCCTAAGCAAGACCCGAGTATCTCGCCGATAAGCCAGCCACTGTTTTCGTTGGGGGCCTTTCGATGCTTGTCCGAGTCGTTGAAGAAGCTTCGCAAGTGCTCGGGGCGCGTAAGAACTCTACATAGCTCTAGAATTAGCTTTGAGTCTTAGGGATACCTGACGGACGGTCTTCCGACTGCGGTAATCTTACATCTCCGGTTTGAAGCCCGCCCAAATCTGGTAAACAACTCCCTTTTGGTGCCGCCACCGAATTGAAGAGCCACGGCCGTCAAAGAACTTTTGCGTGCCCTGGCCATTGGGCCAATCGAATTCAAGGGTTGGGATTGATTCACCACTCTTTTCGAATGTGCATGGAGTAGTCGATCGTCGTAAGACGAACTGATTGTACGTCAGCTGGTTTTTCACTTATGAGGTGACCCAATGATGATTACGAACGTTGGTAACGCGGGATAGTATTGATGATGATACATCATTAATGGATATGGCGTAAAAGAACAAGGTTGTCTGGAGCAATAGCAGCAATTGCAGCACGAATACGCTGGACTGATCATTCTCCATAATGAGTAGATATTGCGACACCTTCCTATGCCAACGTCTCACTAACTTGGAATACAACCACCGGACTCAAGGCCCAGTGTGATAGGGAAAAGGAGGTTTTACAACTCAATGTGATAAAAGTCTCATGCTCGTACCCCGGTAGCCGATGACTTCGCCCCGGCAACCGAGTCTACATGTAGCTCCGGACGCCGAAGCATATCCAGCTCTGAGACACACATGTCTAACCGCCCCCATCAATTTTGATGTTCTCGAACGCCGAAGGAGCTAGTTGGATAATGTGGTTGCATGAGTGTTCACAGTAGGTCTTTCATTTGACGACCTCGGGAGTCTCAAATTGACCTTCTGAGTACTCTACAAGTCGACCGCGCGAATCAACTATCATATTGCATGCTTTGTGACAGTTTCGTCAAGTTCCCAATCCATTTTCAATTACTTTGAAACAGAAGCAACATGGTTTCTCTACCTGCAACTTTATGTGAGATTCTTCACACCACGTCTGATGAGTATGGCAATCATGTCGCCATCGATCATGAAGACGGGGTTCTCACATATTCGGAACTTCAACACTACTCGACCGCTTTTGCACGCAAACTTCGCGATGCCGGAGTCAAGCAAGGCGACCGGCTACCTCTGCTGACAGCTCATGGTACTCGCAACATTGTGGCCTTGATGGGAATACTGATCGCCGGCGCGATCTATGTGCCCATGGACGCAGATACCTGGTCCGAAGAGAGAATTCAAGCAGTCTTGGCCATTACCGATGGTGATGTCATGGTAAGCACTGTTTCAAGCGAGATCCAACGGGAAGACTATCGAGTCGTCCATTTGCGAGACCTCAAAGACCTCGAGTACAGCAGCGATGGCTTCAAGCAATCATACATCAGCCCGTCCAGTCTTGCATGCATCATTTTCACCAGTGGGTCTACCGGTAAACCAAAGGGTGTAATGATACCCCATGAAGCCATTGTCAACTACGCGACCACGTCGCCTTTTAACATGGATGTACGCTGTGGGGATCGGGTACTGCACATTCTATCAGTCTCCTTCGATGGTAAGTTTCGCGATCAGATGCGCGGCTCTTTCGTCCTTTGATCCTTCTCTAATACTTTTACGCAGCGTCTACCGGAATGCTTTTCTCCATTCTTCGTGGTGCCGGTACCATAGTCCCCGCCAACAAGCTCAACTTGATTACCAAGGCTGAGTCCTGCTCAATCATAGCATGCACACCATCGATTCTCACAACTTTACCACCACCCGCTTTAAAAAACTGTCGGTATCCCACACTTCGCACAGTCCTCCTTGGTGGTGAGATCATACCGCAAGAGCTCATCGACGCTTGGTGCGTCAACGGCAGGAGGATACTGAACGCGTATGGGCCAACCGAGACTACTTGCGCCTCTCTGATGCATGTTATCGATTCTTCGGTCGACAGAACACATGAGAGCAACGCAATAATCGGAAAACCTATGCCCAACGCCCCGGTGCATTTGCTCGACTCCGACATGCGGGAGCTCCGGGAGTGTGGTCAGGAGGGTGAGATCGTCATCAGCGGCCTGGGAGTCGCGCACGGCTACTTCCGCGACGAGGAGAAGACGAAGAAAGCGTTCATCGAAAGAAACGGACGGAGAATGTACAGGACCGGCGACTACGGCATGTGGACGACAGACGGCCTCGGTGGACTCGTCATTGAGTTCCGCGGGCGCAGAGATCGGGTGGTCAAGAATCGCGGATTTCTTGTCAACCTCGACGCCGACATCGAGACGCCCATGGCATCGATGGATTTCGGTATCCAAAGCATTCACGTAACGCAGTTTGGGAAGAAAATCGTTGCCCTTGTTTGCCCCGAATCAGTTAATACGAACCGCCTCCGTCAAGTCATGCTCGAGACGTTCTCTAGCTTCATGGTGCCGGATCGAATCCTGGCCGTACCCGCCCTTCCAATGACCCCGAATGGCAAAGTCGACCCTAGAGGCGTCTTGAAGATGTTGGAAGAGAGTCACGATGTGATGCTGACCAAATACACGACTCCCGAGGTTACCACACAAGGAAGCGAGGTATGGCTCGCCGTCAAGGAATGCGCTAGGCGCTCGTTGAGTCTCGGAAACAACGTCGTCCTCCAACCCTCGTCGAACCTATTTTCTTTGGGCGCCTCATCACTCGATATTCTCATGTTCGTGTCGCTTTGCCAGTCACGTGGCTGTCGGATTTCTGTGCCGGATGTTTACAACGCAGAAACTCTCAAGGAGTTATGCGGGTGCATAGACGCCGCTGGCGGCGTTCCACAGATTAAGGAGACCGTGGAAACCTGGATTGGAGTGCCAGACACTCAAGAGAAGATTCAGAATCAAGGGGTAAATGGCCATCATAACGTTCCTCAGGGCAACGGCAGCGTCGACGGCCATCCTCCCAAGTGCGCTCCGATGACGCCTCTGCAACTCGAGCTAGCACAACCTACCTTGGCAGTGGACGGCAAAAATACGAACCGCATCTGCATTCGATATGCTATTGAACATGCAGACAGAATGGAGCAGGCTTGGCACAAGGTCTGGACAACAGAACCTATTTTCAGGACGAAGTTTTCCCTCGTAGAAGGTTCAGGGGGCACGCAAATTGTCGAGAAAGCCCCTCTGAGTCTTCCCACCAAGACCAAGTTCACAGACTATCGCTCATTCCAGAAAGCTATCAACGGCGTTTCACTCAAGGTTGGTCTTGGCACGAGACTTGACTTCCTCCAATTTCTACCCAAAGACGATGATGAGTATCCCGCTGAGTTGGCTGTCGTCTGGACAGTCCACCATTGCCTAGTTGACGGTTATGCCATGGCCTCAATCCTCGCCAGAGTGGAGAATATCGCAGTCGAAGCAAACGTGGAGTACACGACAGACCCCTTCACAGTCATTGCAAGAAGATTAGTTGAGAAGCAGCGGAAGCAGGATTCGCAGGCCAAAGAGTTTTGGTCAGCGTATCTTCATGACGCTCCGTTCATCGAGAGCTTGGGGCTTCCGCGACCAAACGGAAACCGCACGGATGTGGCTGAAGAGATTCGCTTCTCAAGTGCGATCGCCTTTTCAGATCTACGCAAACTGGCTTCGGAAAGCCACGTCACTGTCGCCACCTGTATTTACACGGCTTGGGCCATGGTCATCTCCAAGTATACCAACCAAGATACAGTGACCATTGGTGCTGTCGTCTCTGGAAGAGACTCACCTCTGATATCTCAAACTGCCATTGGCCCTCTGATTAACACTCTTCCTCTGGTGGTTCGGCTCAAGCCCGAATTCACTGTCAAGCAAGCACTGCGGCGAACTCTTCATAACATTGCCGAAGTCACACCTTTTGCATGGAGCACGCCGCAACAGATCAATCACAGGACTTCGAGCGTGGTGGCTCTGCAATACGACTACCCCAAATATCCTGGGACGATCCCTCAGCTCGGCGTCGATTCGTTCGAAAACACTGCTTTTCCTCTGAATCTCCTAGTGGAGGGAGATGGAACATTCCGCCTGGTTTATGACCCGGCAGTTTATGGAGGGTCTTGGGCTCAGGACATGGTGCACTACTTCCAGCTCGTCCTGACATCCATTGTCGGATCTCAAGGCATTACGCCTAGCATCCCTCCCGCCATTCCCAGCAAGGTTGAGACACTCATCATGCGTCATTGGAACCCTATTTCAGACGGATTGCACGATTTTGGTACGCTCCAAGAAGCCTTCGAAAGCTCTTGTAAGAAGCATGGGGATCTACCAGCCGTCGAATGCAATGGAGAATCTCTCACCTACCGTCAGTTGAATACAATGGCTAGGCAAGTCTGCTTGAGAATTCGCGCCGCTTTTACATCGACGAATCCGATCGCTATCCACGCAGACGGATCACTGAACTGGATCGTGGGAGTCCTTGGGATCTTGAAGGCCGGAAGAACTTACTGTCCCTTGGATCCCCAATACCCGCTTGCGAGACGAGCGGCAGTATGTACTGCTGCGGGAGTCGCAGCATTCGTATTCCCCTACGCGACAGACGTCTGCGGAAACGTTCCACTCACCAACCTCCCGATACTAGCAGTATCCGAGGTTATCCAGAACAACCAACCCCCTGTTCAACTCTCTTGCTTCCGGGCGGACCCAGACTCGGACATCCTCATCGTCTTCACCTCCGGCACCACGGGCACGCCCAAGGGTGTTCCCATCAGCCACCGAGGCCTACTCGCGCTGCAGTCCAACCCGGAGGCAACCATGTTCAGCCGACCCGGCAAACGCATCGCCCAGATGATGTCACCAGCGTTCGACTACTGTGCCAACGAGATCTTTTCTGCATTGCTTCACGACGCCTCGCTAGTCCTTCGAGACTCTGCCGACCCGTACGCTCACCTGAGCATAGTCGACTCTGCGACATTGACCCCTTCTTTGATGGCTGCTCTTGATCCAGATACGTATCCCTCCCTTCGCACAGTAAGTCTTGTTTGCATGGGCACTATGATTCTTCTCTCTAACCGCGCCAAATCAGGTTTACGCCACTGGAGAACCCGTCACGCCAGGACTTGTTCAGCGCTGGGCTCCAGGAAGAGATTTCTACAATGCCTACGGACCCGCAGAGGTATGCTCACAGCTTGAGTCTCGATTCATCTTGTGCAAAGCTAACGAATGCTCAGGGTTCCATCTGCGTATCTTTCACTAAACTTGTTCCAGGGGAGGAAATCACCATCGGTCGTGCCATACGAACCGCGAGAATGTACATCCTTGACAGGAACTTCGAGCACCAACCCATCGGAGCACTCGGCGAACTGTTTCTGGCGGGTGTTCAGGTAACACGGGGATACCTCAACGCGGACGAGCAGACGAAGCTTCGTTACATGCCCGACCCATGGCACCTTGGAGAGAGGATGTACCGTACGGGAGATTTCTGCCGCTGGACTCGCGACGGTCAGGTCTCCTATGTCGGTCGACTGGACCGCCAAATCAAGATTCGTGGGTTCCGTGTTGAGCTGCCCACCGTGGAGCAGCACATTCAAGCCTCGAACCCGGAGGTTATCCTGGTCAGCGTCCTCGCTATCGACGACACCCTCGTTTCCGTCATAAAGCCTGCATGCGTCAACACGCAGAGAATCAAGCAAGATCTCTTGGCAAGTTTGCCACCATCTTGGGTTCCCCAGAGGTTCGTGGCAACGGACGACTTCCCCTTGACCCCAAACAAGAAGATAGACATGGTTGCACTGAAGAAGATGCTCGACCACTCCGACGTAGCCGCAAGCCCCGTCAAAGGAGAAACCATGCAGGGCTATTTGGCGGAAGCCATTGCGCGGGAGTGGAGAACCCTTCTCAAGATCCAAGATGAAAGACCCCTCCAAGCCTTAGACAGCTTCACGGCGCTGGGCGGGCATTCTATCTTGCAAATGCTGCTGTCTGCCCGGCTCTCGTCCAGATTTGGAGTCCGGGTTTCCCTTCGAGACGCTCTCCAGGCCGATGCACTGCGGGATCTTGTCAGCCTGGTGAAGATGAGACAGGTCACGGACACCGATGAAGACCAGCCGAAGCCTATTCCAAGTCAGCTCGCATCAGATTCGTTGTCCCCAGTCGAGCAATACATGTGGTCTGAGTACAAGATGACATCTTGGACGAGCATGTTCAACATTCCTCTCGTCTTGAATCTCGAGGGGAGTTTCTCTAGAGCAGCTCTCGCCTCTGCATTGAATAAAGTCCTGTCTGAGCACGAGATCTTCAGATCCAACTATACGGAAGTTTCCTGTCAACCTCTGAGGATCTTGCGGAGCAACTCGCCCCGGGTTCGTGAGCAAGCGGTGCTCGACCTGGACCAGGAGATCAATCACAACTTCAGGGTCTGCGATGACGAGTTAATCCGCATCCATCTCTCGGATGACATACTCGTGGTCGTGGTGAGCCACATGATTGCGGACCTCACCAGTCTACAGAACTTCTTCCAAGACGTATCGGCTGCCTACAAGACGGCGATGGCGCCATCCCCGAGCAGCATTCGCGATTACATTTCTCTTCCGAGGTGGAAGCAGCCAGTTAGCCCCGAGGACCGTGAGTTTTGGCAAAGGTATTTGCAAGGGGCGCAGCACCACGTTCCCTTGGGCAGGCCCTCAGCGTCGTCTCGCTACGACGGACAGTCCGACGTATTCAATATCCCGCAGACCCTCGTCAAAAGCCTCGTGCGTATGATTCGCAGCCAATCCATCACCCGCCACCAGCTTGCTCTCGCCGCCGTTGTCCTGACCCTCCGGCGTGTCACGCTTGAAGACGACCTGGTGGTTGGGAGTCCCTGCTCGTGCCGTTTCTCGGCCTCGGAGCAGCGGGCCATGGGCCTTCTGCTGGACCGTCTGCCGATTCGGATCGGGAAAAGCCACGAGGATATTTCCTGCGCTGCGTTCCTCGGCCAGGTGCGCGAGGCAAGTCAAGCTGCCCTCGCTCGAGTCATCCCTTTCCCGGAGCTGCTTCGCATACTGGGCATCAACCAAGACTTCGAGCGTCATCCCCTATTCGAGGTCATGGTCACCTTCCACTTGGACAAGGGCCCTCAAGGGCATTTGGAAATCCCCAATTGCAACGTATCAGCCCTTCCGGTGCATGCTTCCGGTTCCAAGTTTCTCTTGATGTTTGAATGGACGGAATGCTCGGAGGGAGACTGGATGCTGCGGATTGAGTATAACAGCCAGAGGATTTCTCGTCCGGTACTCACTCAAATCAAGCAGAGCTTGTTCGACATTCTCAACGATCTTTCGATGGAGAACGACATTGTCTAGCTGTGTCTTTCGAGTTAGAAGTGAGGCAGCGCGGACAAGGGTAGTAGTCGTGATCTGGTGTGAAATAGACTAGGCAGTCCGGAACAAATACACTTGAAGATTATGGACACGCTGCCAAAACAACTTAGTTTTTGTAAGGTGCATCGCTTATCATGTATTTCAAATTTTCGTCGTGCACGAAGTACATCAGCTTTCCATGGCAGCATCTACCGTCTTCTCAGGTCTAGGCATTTGGCAGAAGAGTAGGTACTGAAGTTGCCAACAGAGATATGCGGGCCCAATGTTTAACAATTGAATATGTATGCTATACAACGATAGTCTCCATCGAATCCTTGCCGTTGATGAACATGCTTGCTTCTCGTCTGAAGTTCGTCGAGGTCACACCGGCGAGCGGTTATGAATAGCTTCATCGCGAGATCTATCACATACGACCATACCCATTGGAAAACTCGGGATCCCGTCCGCTCTCCCGTAGATAAGCCAATGAGGGCTGGAGTAGTAGTCGCGTCGGTGACGACCGGCGAATGCCCGGTGTTGTATGTTATTTTGGCTTCGATCGATTCATTTTTGACGTCCACGGCCGATGTCGCGATACTCTTGTGTTTAGTACCATTTTGCGGGGAAGAAACAAGCGGACACTCAAATGAGTGACAGCTCTGATCGTACGCCTTTGGGGCGAACAGCACTTCGCAACGCTTCCATGGTCAAGTGTCATGCGTTGTGGAGATTGAACGACGACTATGAAAGTTAGTCGGCAGCGCATCTGAGCGGGGCCAGGAGGCAAGTCACAGGGTTGTCTTTTTCGGTTTGATGCGAGTCACATACTGCAATCACGGTGGATCAAAGCCCATTGTAAAGGAGAATTTTTGTTTTGTTTGTATTACAGTTTCTTATGTTGGGCATCTGGCGTGCCAGCCAGGCCGTGGTATAGTACATCGTGAGTGGAACAGCTATAAGACAAGCCAAGAAAAGCCTTTTTAGGTAAGTTTCGTTTCATCTTACAATCCCCCGCCGTCATGCGTCGTCAAGATATCTCTCTGCATTTCATTTTCTCTTCACCTTTTTTTTTTTTCCTTCCGTTTCCCCGCATGGGCAGTCAAGTCCTGTTCAGGCGTTGACGAAGCCCTTGACGTTCTTCAACCAGCGGACGTACTCCTTCTGCTCCTTGACGTCAATGTAGTCGGGGGCGAAGATGGCCAGGGCCTGGGTGATGCCGCGCTCCTCGAGGTAGCGCTCCATCAGGATCTGCAGGTCCTCGTCGAGGCTGCCGAAGGGGGGTCCGGGGTAGACGTCGGCGCGGGCGTGGGCGATGTCGGCGGAGGAGCCGTGGGCCAGCTTACCGTCCTCGTAGTAGTACATGTTCTCGACGGTGATGGCGCCGTCCTGGGCGGTTGCGTCGATATTGAGGGCGCCATCAGCCTTGCCAGGCTTCTCGACGAAGATGCTCAGGCGGCAGGGGGGAGCGGCCTCGTCCAACTCGCCCTCCTCGTCCTCGATGTCCTCCTCAGGGTTGGCGGAGCGGGCACCGTTCTGCTTGGTCTGGGGCTCGGAGGGGTCGTACTCGTCATCCAGGGCGCGGTCCTGCTCGTACATCTCGGGGTCGTAGTTGGCGAGGTCGGCGATGGAAAAGGTGACAGTGATCCTGCATGTTATCAGTATATCTAGGCGCATAGACAGCTGCGCATTGAGAAACTCACTTCTCCTCGCCAAACTTGCGGGTAAGCTTGACCTCCTCCTTGCCGGGGGTGTCGTGGAGCTCAAACGGGCTGTTGTCGAGGAAGTCCTTAACGCTGGCGGGCAGCTGCTCGTTCTGCTTGACCTCGTCCTCGAACGACAGCTCGCTCTCGAGCTTGGCGAGAAGCTCAGCATCGGTCTCGCCGGCAGGGGCTTTCCTGAAGGCGGAGCTGGAGAAGGCGGAAGCGCGCTGGACGGCGCCAAATGATGAGGCCTTGACGAATGCGCTGGGGCGGGCGCTCTGTCTGAGAGTGGTGGCCGAGAGGCGGGTAAGAGTTCTGGGCGCAGAGCGCGCGATGGATCTGATGGAAAGCATTTTGGCTGGAGTTACGTCTACTTGTCGAACTTGGTTTTGTTTGACAATGGAAAAAAAAGGCTTTGGGGTGGAGTGGGTAAATCGACCTCTGCAGAAGCTTTGGAAGCTTCCCAAAATTTTTGAGATCAGACCAGACGCTGAGTGTACCGGCGAAATGTTGTTCCGATGCTTGCAGCACGACAACTCACACTGCAGCTGAACGACATCAACCTCCACTCTTTCTCGAAGGACTCCACCGAAGAATCATGTTCATAAAAAAACCATCAACGTTCTCGGCTAAGCTTAAACTGGTAATGACAGGGGCCGCCCTGATTCCTGAGATCTCCAGATCCCAATCTGCCTGTTTGTCTCCTCCGGCTCAAACCCAAGGGCGATGCCAGCATCACTGGGAAGAGTTGTTGGTGACCAGTCCGTCTATCCTTTTGAACGCCTTGTAGCTTCCCTTAGAGTCTTTCATCAATGTAGACTGACACGATGCAATGCCGATGATGCCCGTGGGACCCGGCGGATCCTCTCCTTGCACTTCCAACAGTGGTGTCTGGTGCTGTTGCTGTCACTGCCGATCCCTGAATCACAACTCCCAAAGACCCCGTTCCTCTTGGCAAGCATGCATAACCTCTCTGAGATGAGGACAGTATCTTCATGGCTGCAGAAGTTGCAGACGCGCAGATGAGTGACGTATTTGCACATGTTGCTACAACGACTGTCAGTGAGATTCGACCATCTGTGCTTATCAGGACTCACTTAGAGGAGCAAGAGGTTCAATCGGATAGTTGCGGGTGTAGGCAGGGCAGATCAGTAAGATCGACGGAGGGGATGCTGAGAATGGCGAGGGGTAGATGACAGCCGGATGACAGTGAAGATCATCCGAGATATATCTACACTTGAGCACTTTTGTAGCCACGCTCTTGGGAAGCCCAAACAAGCCAGCCCAACCTCGTGGTACCAGGACTCGAACGATCCCAGGCAGTAAGCACCGGCATCCAGATCCTTCGACATCGCGCGGTCTGCTACGGCATCCTCCACGAAGTCTTGCCACGGAGGGATCGAGGGGTGAGTCAAGTGGAGATGCTTCCAGGGGCAGTGCTCACCGCGGTCAGAGAGCTGGAAGCGTCTAGCCGTCTTCAAGAGGATGGCGAGGTCGCCTGTGCAATGTAGCACCTGGGACAGGATGAGAGATCTGGATTGAGTTATGAGACGAGAGTCATTGCTTGGGACAGGCCTGTTTGGCGAACAACGTGGTTCCAGTAGTCTGGTCCAGGAGGCTCGGGGCAGATCGCAGCCGCGCTCTGGATCGGGTAGCCACCTTTGGAACAAGGAGAAATAGACGTCAGTCATCAGACAATCTACAGGGACCGCGGAGGGCAACATAATCGTCACTTGATGTGCGACGTGGCAGCCCAATGATTCTTCGACGGAAGCCAGGTGTGGGTTGATATTGGGCCGGGAGATCGATGGATCGTGTTCCAGCCTTGCCTGCGGCATCTACCGAGTGTGTTTCAAACGAGATCACCACGTTTGCTCTCTACATGATACCGTCTAAATGCCTGCCAAACGGATACAGCAGGCCCAGAGGATGCGGTCGAGCCGGCACTATCCCCAGAACGCCACATGCCACCCACGTTTGCCGCCGGGCCGCCCGCCGATGCCCTGTGTAACAGGCGCGGAGAGAACATGCAGGCGAAGGTCGGCGATCCAGTGGTTTGGCCGCGCATGGCCTGCTGTGATCCGAGCTTTCGCCTCCGTGTTCTCATACGGCATTGCTGTATGTAACCGGAGAAATTGTCTGTTGACCAAACAAGACTCATGTCACGGCGCATGTTTGTCTCAGACAGCTGGCCCGCGAAAGAACCCCCGTAAATACACCGTAGAGCCGTACTCAGAAACTGCAGCCGAAAGGCTGTGCCCTTTTCCCGAATGATGCGCTGTTTGCTCCCCTGAACTGCCTTTTCCCGATTCCAAACGCCAGAAACGCCGCTGTGATGCTGTCATGATCTAGGAGCTGCCCTTGGGCGGGAAGCTGGACTTCTTGATGTTGCCGTCGGCATTTATCCTCACCCACGCAACGGAAGCGAGGTAGGCCCAAGAGCCCTCCCAGCGATCGAGCATCAGGATGTTGGAGTCATTTGTGAGGTCAGGAAGGTCTGGGGCTTGTTAGTCTCCCCATAGCCGATGCAGTCATAGCAGAACTCACAGAAGCCGTTTCCCTTGTATTCGTCTTCAAGGGTGGAGATCTTCAGCTTGAGCAAGTCCTCCTTAGCGCTCGCGGGGCGGCCGGGACGACGGGTCTTCTTGACCTCGGCGTACTCTTCATCATACTGATGCACAAAACTGGAGAAAGTCAGACTTGAAGTCCTGGGAACTGGCGATGTGGACGCACTCGTGAATGAGCTCCTGGATAGTGGCGAGGTCGAGCGGCTTAGAGCCCTTCTCCTGAATAGCCTTTTGGAAGTAAGAAGCACGGGTGACTGTGGCAGGTTAGCTTTCAGCTCGTTGTCTGCTGCGAAATGAGCTGTCTTACGCATGGGCTGCTCCTTCTTTCCTCTGGTGGCCGCAAGCTTCTGCAGCTTGTCGTCTCTCACCGACGCCTTGTGAAGACGCTTGGAGTCTCTGGAAAACTCATGCAGTGCATCGACATGTCCGTTGCGCTTCTTGGCAATCTGCTTGCGGGTCTTTGACAACGTGGTAGGCATTTCGACGGTGATATGGCTGGTCAAATGACGTGTCAGGAGAGTTGAAGAAAATTCGACAGTGAGACACAGAAAGATTGAGAACGAAATGATCCAGATGTCTCTCGACTGCACACTGCCTTGGGTGTCGGTCTGCTGTCTGTGCCCCACGGCGAAAAATCCCATCCTCTGAGCTGCAAACACTCTGTGAAAAAAGCTGTCGCCCCACTAAATTCGGAAAGGGTCCAATAACCTTCAGCCGGATCAGGAACCAGTGACGTTGCTCTGGAAATCCCGAGCTTCTGGCGCTAGTCCCTTTCGGGGCACTCCTCTGTGCCCAGGCCACAGCAAAAAAAGAGTCGCGATATGACTTGACGCGGGTGGACACACCGCGTTCCAATATAGCAGGACCAGGTCCCCCCGGACGTCCCTTTCCCGTGCAGGATGCCCGCGATTCACTCCACCTGCACACCTTCTCTCCTCTGACTTCACCTTCGTCGGTGAATTCTAGTCCTCCAGCTCCGACTAAACTTCCCAGCTCTCTTCCGAACGTCGCCCGCCGTAGATAGTCGACTCCAACTCCCACCCGCAACTAATCCGCAAACATAGCGCCGAGTGTCTTTGTTTACATTTGCCCCCGGATCACCTGACTTGGCGTATCGACCTTCACAACTCCGCGAATCCACCCTCTTTACGCGTCTTTGCGTCTCGACGGATGGCCTAAAGCATTGTTTTTACCTTTGTCAGTCCGGCTGTTGGCCTGAAACCCGGATCGAGAGCGATCTCCAGCCCTCGAAACTTCTGCTCTGCACTTTGAGGGCCTGCGAGCCGTTCCCTTGGATCAACAATGGGCGTCTCAGGTACTTGCTCTCCCTTGCCTCGGGACCTCGTGCATTGCGTTACTCACCTCTGCTAGGCCTTCTCCCGCTGCTCAAGTCCATCCACAGGCCCGTCGAGCTCAAGAAATTCAAGGGCGAAACGCTCGGTGTCGACGCCTACGGATGGCTTCACCGCGGAGCCATTGCCTGCGCCGTGGACCTGGCCCAAGGCAACCCCACACGCAAGTGAGTCTAAACGTCCATTCCAGGTTGCCATCGGATGTGACCTAACCCTGCCTCAGATATGTCGACTTTGCCATGCACAGGGTAAGGATGCTTCTGCACTTTGGTGTCAAGCCCTACCTTGTCTTTGATGGCGACTTCCTACCCAGCAAGGCAGCCACCGAAGGATCCAGAGCTAAACGCCGCGATGAGAGCAAGAAGACGGCAATGGAGCTGCTCAAGGCCGGAAAGCCCTCCCAAGCGCACCTCGAGTTTCAGAAGGCCATCGACGTGACACCGGAAATGGCCCGCAATCTCATCGACGAATTGAAAAAGCTGGATGTCTCGTACGTCGTTGCACCGTACGAAGCAGATGCTCAGCTCGTCTACCTCGAACGCCAAGGCCTGATCGACGGCATTCTATCTGAAGACTCGGATCTGTTGGTCTTCGGTTGCAAGCGGCTCTTGACGAAGCTCGACCAGTACGGCAACTGTATCGAGATCAACCGGAGGGACTTTTGCGCATGTCGGGAGGTGTCGTTGACGGGCTGGTCGGATACCGACTTTCGGCGTATGGCCATTCTGAGTGGCTGTGATTACCTCGAGGGTATCAACAACATGGGACTAAAGACGGCTTACCGGATGTTGCGCAAGTACAAGACGCCAGAACGATTGGTCCGCATGTGCCAGTTCGAGGGAAAGCACCGCATCTCGGAGAACTACCTGCCGCGATTCTTCCAGGCCGAATTGACGTTCCTCCACCAGAGAGTCTACTGCCCGACAAAGAAGGAGATGGTGTTCCTGACCGAGCCCGAAGCGGGTAAGGGCGTTGAGGATATGCCGTTCATTGGTGCTTATGTCGAACCTGAGATGGCCACGGCCGTCGCCGTTGGAGATGTCAACCCAATGACCAAGGAGACCATTATCCCTGCTCCCATGCCTGGAGGCAAGTCGCCCAAGTCCGACTCTAAGAGGAGACACTCTCAGTCCGCCGAGGCTCTCGCAGCCTCTTCGAACCGCACACGACAAGCCGCCAAGCCTATCGATTCCTACTTCAAGGGCCATCAGCGTATTCCCATGGGCGAAATGGATAGCAACTGTTTCTCAGTCGACCCAGAGCGTGTTGCCGCCCTCACTCACAACGGCCTAGTACCCCGCGTCTTTCCGCTACCCAGACCATATATCGAAGGATCATCCTCACAACCAACCGAATCTCGCCCTACACGAACCGCCCGTTCAACAACCTCTCCACGTCTACTTCGACGGCGGACAGAACCCATCAAGAACATGCTGGAGCAGTACGCCCCATCCAGTTCTGATTCTCGTCGCATCACGCTCGGCGACTCGACGAATACCATGGACGAAATCGATGCACTGATGAAGAGCAGCTCTCAACGCCCGCCAAAGAAGGTCCGCCTCTGCGCAGACGCAGACGAAGCCGAAACGAAATCTGAGGAATCCCAAAAGAGCAAGTTCTTCCCGAAGAACGAAACGACAAAGAAGAGCAAGAAAGACGGCTTCTTGTTCTCTGACGACTCCATCGACGAGGCGTTGCTGAACCTCGCGGACATTGACGCCTGGCACAACCCTAAACCAAAGTCAATCACAGTCTTTGAGGAAAGCCAGGGCACAGAGGAGAGTCAAGGCACCGAGGCAACCGGCGCGGACAGTCAGTTCAGCAAGGACGAAGAGATAGCGACAACCCCGCTCAGTGACCTGTCCGACGTGGAGGAGCTGCCCGAAAAGAAGCCCGCACCGGAGACGAGCTCCAGACGGTCGTCTTTGCAGAGGTTTGCGTTCTCTCAGCCGAGCCCTGCCGCTTCGAGTCAGCCCGATACCCCGGCAACCGCTGTTTCGAGACAATCATCCATCTTCACACCATCCACCGCCGCCCCGTCCACCGCAGCCTCCTCAGTCACCTTCTCCGCCGGCTCGACCGCAGCGGCAAAGGCAACTCCGATGCTCACACCGCTCCAACGCATCGGCGCCCGGGCCCTCCAGCGAAAGAACACCCCGCCGCGCCGGGCCCTGTCTCCCACCAAGAGTGCAATTCAGCGCAGCCCCAAGCGCAGTCCCCGGAAGAGCCGGCTGCTGAAGTCGATGCCTGTTAACCCCTCGTTCGTGCCGCTGCCCAAGGTCGACCTCGCAGAAGTCGAGGCTCTCAACGCGCCGTGCGGGAGTGAGGATCAAATCGTCCACGATAGCGACGGTGAGAACGACGATGATGTCTTCCGATCTGACGAAGTTGAAGAGCGGCCCAGAGGCTTGAACCTCTCCCGGTTCGTGTACGGCTGAGTCTTCTGTCATGTGTCGACGCGATACCCATATTGCGACGTTATCTTATTCGTTTCCTGCGAGCGCGACCAGTCATCTCCCAAGTGGCCGGTCTGGCTGTGCTATCAGTGCACAATCATCATGATATCCCCCCAAGGATGGGATGCATTTTTTAGAGGTTAATGGAAGCATCAAGGAGAGAGCATTTGGACTTTCAACGCTGTATGGAATGAGAAGCAGCATTTCCCCCCCGCACGCCTGGAAAAAGGTTTATCATTGGTGGCGAAGGATTATGAGCCTAGACGGAGAACGGCTTTTTTTGTATGCATTTCTTGAGGCGTAGTAGGAGTCTTTAACGGCGGGTAGGAAATATATCATGGACGGAAAACCATTGGCAAGGTGTCAAGAAAAGTCTCGTTCGCGACCGTGGATGATGGAATGAGCAGCCGTGATGTGACGTGAATGCGGTTTGCTGTTACATTGTCGAGACTGATGAGGCTGACGCCCGGACGGAACCCGCCGGACGGGGTTCCGCTGAGTTCGATTCCCATTTCGCCCCTCCCCCATTCCCTGCGTGACGCTGCGTCAGGAGGGAGGCCCAGCCACCTGGGCACACCTACACCCACCGACGGGGCAGGCAAGGCCTGTCTGCGACCTCGGACCATTGTCATAGTTGCGGCGTTCAGTGGTGCCGCTATGTAGACCACACACACACCGCGAGTCATGATGCCCATGGACGACGAGTAGACCGACGAGAAGGCTAAAACTTTGTAATCCAGAGATTTGCGTGGCAATGATTCGAAGCAGCTACAAGAAGGCAGGTCACGGGTGGGAAAGATGGCATGGTGGACGCACGAACTCAAGCCGCGACTTGGCCGAAAACGGTGGGTTTTGCATGACACCCATCGCCTGGGTTCTCGTAAGTTCAGAGAGTCAAGCACGATGTAGGGGACGGCAGCAGCAGAGACGACGATGACAGTGATGTGCTGCGTAATGATTGCCGCTGTGCCTGGGACACACGGATTGCTACCAAAATTCCATTCCATACAATGCCCGTGATGCGCTTCTCCTCACGCCGAGTTATCCGTCCCTTGAGAAAGAAGAGAGAGAGAAAAAAAACCTGTCATGATCTTGTAGCCTCCAATGCCGTTACCGAGAAGATTGATGAGCCTTCCACCAATAATAAAGCGCTAAGCGTTCTTTCTACACACTCAAGCCGTTTCTCATGTATTCGTGTGAGTCATCGCGTGATTCAACGGCGGCTGCCCGTGGCAGCGGATGGCATAGGACCGGTAAGATCAACGTTGAAAGTCCAGCGACCTAAGGGAGGGTTAGAAATGATAAAGATGTTTGTTTATGCTAAGCTTACCGTTGGCCAAATTATCGGCGGTATCCTCCAGAAGAATGATGCGTCGCTTCTTGCAGTACGACGTCTTGTCCATGATGTCGACCTTCAGCTTCTTGTCACACAGCTCTGTGACGGGCTTCTCGAACATTTCTGACAGTGCCTCAACCGCCATCTCCAAATCCTTCTGATTGTCCTCGAAGATGGACGTCAAATTGTTGCGGGCAAGGTAGAAGGCAAATGCGTACGTCCACTTGAGGGTCTGTCGACAGGTTTGCAGTGTCTGCGAGGCCTGGTTGAGATACTGAACCTCGATCCACGACATGCCTGACGCGGTCTGGAGCTGCACCATCTTCTTCTCTGTCTTATGATAAATGTCCTTGTCGAGCTTGGCGGACTGTTCGTGGTTGGCGTAGCGGTTGTAGTAGTGCAGGTATCTCTCCAGCGATATGCGGGACTTTGCTTGCGCATCGCGGGCTTCGGTGCCGCTCTTCTCCTCGAAGCGATTGCAGTTGTACCAGCTGGTGCCATGCTCCGACCACAGGCCCATACACATCCAACAGAACTCGTGCTTGCACTTGCGACAGGTCATGTGGTTGCAGCCACCGTTTTTCTCAATAGTGGAGTTACACTTCGGACACTCTTTTGTGTTCGCTGATATCCAGTTAGCTGTCTCGGAGTCGTCGGCGCACTTCTTGAGCCATCTCTTGACGAGCTCGCAGGGGGCTGGTTGATGGTCGTTGAGGATGCAACCGAAGCAGAAGCGATGACCACATGCGCAGGCGACCGTGGGGACGATTCTGTCCAAATCCTTCTTCTTGATAGGGCACTCGACGGCATTCGGGCAGTCGGGAGCGGGGCACCACTTGAGGGAGTCCTTGTCCTCGACATATGTGCGGTTGAGCAGCTCGTGGTACCGTGAACCGAGTTCGGGGGTGACGAGAAGATCGAGCGACTTGGAGTCGATGATGCGGCCACAGCCCTCGGCAGGGCACTGGATGCGGGCAGCCTCGCCCTCTTCGCGGATCTTCTGGTTGAGGTAGTGACGGTAGCAGTCGACGCAGTATCGGTGACCGCACTTGAGAGAAAAGGTCTGGAGACCCTCCTCGTCCTCGCAGCAAATGTCGCACATAAAGCCCGGGATGGCCTCTAGCTTGGGCGGGCCGGTGACGTTCGATCCCAGGCCTGCAGCCTCCAGTACCTTATTCGGAGTATCCATGTAGTCCTCAATCAAGCGTTCCTTGTTCCAGCGGAAGTGGCGCAGCAGGATGGCGACGTCCTCCTTGCGAATATTGAGAATCATATTGACCTCGTCGATCATGTCGTCCTGTTGGCTCTGGATGTCCTCGGGCTTGTAGACCTTGAAGGAAATGTCGTAGGCGACCTTCTTCTTACTGTCGGAGTCCTTGATAATGCCGAGGTCGGCGTCGGGCTCGTCATCGAAGTCGTCCTCGTCGAAGTCTGTGGGAGAAGGAGCGTCAGAATATTGCGGGTTAGCATCGGGGATAAAGAAAAATGAGGACGCACCATCGGCGCCCGACATGTCCTCGCCGCTGTCGTCTTGCATCATCTCGTCCTCGCTCGAAAGAGCGGACATGAAGTCCTCCTCGGAATCCATGCCGTTGCTTGCTGTGGTGACCGGTGTCGGGGGAGCGTGCTGGGTCTGGTTGGCAGCTGAGGCTATCCTCTTGTTGGGCAAGGCGTCTGGGGACTCGGAGGATATCGTCGCCTCAGCGGCCTTTCGCTTCCGCGTGGTGGGAGGAATGGTGCCGACGAGGGATGTTGGCGAGGGGAGGGTTTCCGCAGGTGGAAACGGCGAGAGGATTTGATTTTAAGTAAAACCTGAGGCGAAGGCGGCGTCGAGCGGTCGAGGGTTCGAGTAACCTATTCGTGGGTGGTGTGCAGACGTCGACGGACAATAAGGCCAAAGGCGATACCAAGGCCAAGGTAGATACCGACGACAGAGACCAGGAGGAGGGCCGAGAGAGGGGGCCAAAGGAGTCACCTGGGGATTAGTAAGAGGAAGAGCGACTCGATAGGTGCCTGCGCGTTCGGGGATGGGTGCAAAAGGCCAAAGAAGTGATCAGGCACGCTGGACGTAGATGGCGGCAATAGATCGTCGGAGTAGATGGTCGGGAAGTAGGCAGGAAGATGGCGGCAGGTAAGGTAGAGAGAGAAGTAAGGTGTGAGTGAGGTGGGATGGGACGCAGGTTGGGTTGGGTTGGGTGAGGTAAGGTGCAGTGCAGTGCAGTGCGGTGCGGTGCGGTGGGCGGATGGGTGGATGAAGGGCGGGAGGGAGTTGGGACGGCGGTGTTAGGCCCAGTGCCCTGTCTGAGTCTCCTGGTCTAAGGTGTTCAATGTACCTACAGTATAATGCACCACAACCTCTTTCTCTCTCTCTCGGTCAGTCAGTGCCTGAACGCGAGATGCACCTGCTGCTGTGTGTGCTTTGTGTGCTGAGTGGGCAGCTGTTGGTTGGCAGTGGGCTGGGTTGGATGACGGAGGTGTTGGTTGGAAGGTGAGGAGGAGTGGGCTCCAGTGTGTGAGGGTGAGGAGGCACCGAGTGAGGTACAGAGTACCTAGACTAGGTATCTTGCTGCCTGTGTGAAGTGAGGGGTACTTGTGGTGCTCCTGGGGCCTGGCTTTTAAGTGGGCTGGCTGACTGAGTGTCTGCCTGGGGTTGGGAGTCGAGGAAGGAAGTGTGCTTCATGACCAACAACCGGTCACCACTTTCCACTTTCACTGCCAATAATGGTAGATGCACCGACTGACTGAGCGTCATTTGGCACTGTTAAAGTTCTAATAATTCAAGGCACCTTCCTCCCCTTTCCGGCTTTGATGAATCTGGGGAAACCAGAGGCAAGCGCCACCCAGGGGCTCATTGTCAAAGATAATGCAACTGCGCCAAGCATTGTGATGCGTCTGCGGCACAGAGGGGCACTGAGGGGTTGGTTGGCTTTGGCTCTCTGGATGGCATTACACACAAAGACACTCCCGTGGCCTGCAACTCGACGTCGATTCAATCAACTGCTATTAAAAGGCCAGTCAAGTCTCGTCTCAGCAGCCCTCGTGCCAGTCTCTGCAAAGCAGTCTGTCCAGTGGCTGCATCCGACAATGTGCAGGTGACTCCTTGTCAATGAGCAAGCAGCGTCAATGCCCCTCTGATGCAACTTTGAGGCCTCAACTCGGGTACTGCCAACTGCCCCCAAGTGCCCTCCCTGCCCGCCTGCAGCCTGCATGGCGCCTCCTGACTTGCCCTGAGCGCCATGCACCGCACCACCCACCACTGTCTTCGGCCCCGCCGTTATCAAGTCCTGTCACTCTTATCGATAAACCCCTGAAGCTGGCTTGATAAGCGTGGCGGTGGCTGATAAGCATTTGTCAGGCGGGAACGGCCCGGCACCATGTGGCTCCGGTTTGGCCGACGCCGGCCATGGAAGTCGGGTCCTCCCAGCCGGCTTTCGTCTCATGACCTGATCCCGTTCCGTCTGCCTTCCGTGCTGAAGACGAGGCCGGGGATACATATCTCGGCAGATTGTTACCGCTTGCAGAGCCTCATAAATTTGACGACAACTGGCTATTCATTGGGCAGCATGGCTGACTGCATAGCATTTCGATGTGGCGGCAAGGTTTGATTGGCAGGTGGTAGAGGTCAACGCTCTCAGATTTCTCATAATCTACCTTCGCCGATATTCTAAATCTTTCTTTTCCCAACAGTTTGGTGAACATGAGCTCCATCTAACCTCCTCTCTGCCCAGAGACAATGTTCGAGCTTAAGCAAGGACCGTATCGGCCAGAGAAACTGTCCAAGCTGTCAGTCACCATGGTTGGAGCAAACAACGCAACCGCCTACTCACCCTTGGTTCCAATGTTGTCGGGCTCGACGTGAGCCTCCTTGACCTTACCGTCCTCGACGACAAGAGTGTATCTCTTGCCGCGGGTGTCGCCAAAGATGGCGACGCTATCGAAGTCGAGCTCAAGCTGCTTGGTGAACTCCGCGGTCGGGTCACCCAAGAACCGGATCTGCGACACATTCAGCACACAACCAATCTCTCAACAAAATCCCCGGAAAGACTCAACATACGCCCGTCTGGCTCGCGGGGTCCAACTGCTCACCCCACGCCTTCATCCTGTAAACCTGTCAATATGTGGTCCTCGATTAGAAACGCCAACCCGAGAAAAACCTACACGAAGGGGTCGTTAACCGACACAACAAACACGGAACCGGCCTCCTTCAGCTTCGGGTGGTTAATGTACGACGGGACGTGAGTGGCCGAGCAGGCGGGCGAGAAGGCCGCGGGAACACCAATGATGAGCCCGTTCTTGACCTTGGAAAACTCCTCGGCCAGGTTGACCTTGTTGCCCGGCGAGTTCTCGACCAGCACCGGCAAGTCGGGGATCGCGTCGCCGACCTTGACGAAGGCGCGGGGCGTCGAGTGGAACGCCCTGGCTGCAGCCGCGGGACGGGCGAGGGCGACTCTTCTAGCAGCAGCGCGGAAAGCCATTGTGTATGATGGATTGTGTAGGTGTAGATGTAGACGTGTGTAATGGTTGAAAACGCAATTGATGCGATGAGATGAGAGAAAGAGCGGGATGATGGATGAGTTAATGTTTCTCAGAGCCTTCCTTCTGTCTCTCGAGCTGAAAGCTTAAGGTAAAGCTTGGGAGGGGCAGGGCACCTCAGCAGCAAGGACAAGCACCTTACCTCAAGCAGGGGGCAGGTTTGATTTAGTGCCTCATCACCTGCACCTGCACCTGCACCGAGGGCTCAATTGAGACACTGCTGGGAAATTGCAGCATGACATCACAGCGACGTGCAGCCCCCCCGGTACAGCCCAAAGTGCTCACATTCATCCTTGTGAGACACGGCCAACGACGCCCATTTCGCAATCTTTTCGTAAAAACGGTCAACCGCCCGTGCGGCCGTCAAATTATATCAAGCATCCCGAAAAGCCTCACCTTTCTTTTTCCTTCCAATTTTCCACTTCCAAGCATCTGTCAAGGTTCTCGCGCGCCGGCGGCCGCGTCGACACCGGCCTCAGCTCATTGCCGTTTTCGAACACCTGCGTCGACTATCGGGGCTTGGGTATCATTTCATCATTAGGGTATTCTACTCTGGCCGTCGTGGCCTTCTTTTTTCCTCTACGATCACCGGGGCTCATTACCATCCAACTCTCCGACATCTGCTGCCCATCTGCTGTTCACCTGTCGTCCGCTTGTCGTACTCAGGGAGCTCTCAACACCTGCTCCAAACTGCCGTCCTCGCCCGGCTCGCCCACTTTGTACCTCTTCGATTCCAGACTATCCGTGGGCTCAGCGATATATCCAACGAGATGAAGGGAGCTGTACTTACCTCCAGGCCAAGTTGCCGGTGCAAACGGTCTTCAGAGCCTCGGCCACCAGCCGGATGTGGTCCGCTTCACCCCGGTACTGGCGGATGAGCCTCGACTCGCACACGTCGAAGCTCTTGACGGCCTTTTCGATTTCTCCGACCACGTGCTCGACGACCTCCGCCAGCTCGCCGCGTTCGCCGTTCCACAGGAGCACCGGCACCGCGTTGAAGATTCGACCCTTTCTCTGCGCCACAGTCAGCAAACAAGCAGCCCACTAGGCTGCTGCGGTCACTTACCAGCTCTTTGCTCAATGAGAGCAAGTCGTTCGTCCTTGGGGTCTGTCAGCCTCTGAATACCTTGAACCTGTGTTCGCCTTCACTCACAGTCCAATGATGACACTGACCGCCTCAAGCATGAGCTTGTATGGGATCGAGCCAGTGACCAGTCCAGACAACTGCACTCCCGCAACAAACCTGCACCAATCAGCAAAGCCCGTCTCAATACGCAACTCTGGCAGCTCTGGCAACTCACTCGGCCAAGGCACAAAGTGGCCCAGCACCCGCCGTCCTCTTCCGCAGATCCTCGTAGTACCGGTCTGTCGGTACCTCCCCGCTCTGGATGTACCGCATCTCCGACACCGTTGAGTCAATGTACTCGAACAAGCTGACCCTCAGAGCCCTCCGCTGGTCTGCTGAATCGTCAGCCTCCTCAGCTCCCGCTCCCGGTCCCCCGGGCAGATAGACGACATATCACTCACCCTGGTCATAGTACCGGCAAATCACCTGCGCTACCTGCTGGAAATCCGAAATGGCACTCGTCGCAGGCGGCTCCCGCGGCAGATCCGAAAGCTGGAGATACTGCGCAACGTACTCCTTGGTCTTGGCCCGGAACTCCCTCGCCCGCTCCGAGTTCTCGTACTCCAACGCCTCGATGTAGTCATCGAGCCGTCCCTGCCAAAGGACCATCTGTGTCAACGTCCTCAGATGCTCCAGCGACACATTGGGCCACAGACTGTTCGCAGTCAGCAAGCGCTGCCAAAGGTATTGTCGGTACGTCACAACTTACCACGCCGCAAGCAAAGCCGGGTTCGCCTCCTCAACATTCTCCTTATCCCTAGGCGAGGCCGTCCTGCATCTCATTAGTTCCACGCTGCCAGCTCCTCAAAACACCACAAGAACCCTCACCGATCCAGCAACTCGCCGACCTGCCCCTCGATGTCCGAAGCGTGCGCGTTCCTCATGCAGGGCCAGTGGCCCATCAACCTCCCCAGGTCCGGTATGACCATGACCTGCCCGTCCAGCCTCCGCGCCAGCTCCGCGCTGTCGGTGTTCTTCTTCGCCATCTCACTTGCCGAAATTCAGGGTATTATGCTTAAAATTTTCCGCCCTTTCTTCTTCTTCTTCTTCTTCCTCGGAAGTTTTTTTTGTTTACAGTCACATTCGCTCGGGCGTGGTGCGTCTGATTTTGATGAGGCCGAGTGGTCTTGGGTGGAGCATGGCGAGATTAAGTCAATGCTACCCAACGACGCAGGACACAGGGGCGTTGGAGGTGGGCTCTCCTTGATATGCGACTCTGACAGCGGAAGAGGGGCGAGATAAAAAGGTAAAAAGAGGGAACTGGGGGGTCAAACCCTGGTGATTCACTGATTAGGGGTGACACGTTTTCTTCACTGCTGGGTGTTTGTTTTGTTTTGTTTTTCCTCTGGTTGTGGGCGGCCAAATCTGTCTAATGCCAGGGGAATACGGGATGGGCCGTCTTGGGTTCTTTAATGGAGTGGTGCAAATCGTGGGGAGGGAGAGGGGCTTTGCGAGGGTGCTTTGATTTTCTGCTTTTGGACCTGAAACGGGGGGCGAGTTTGCGCCTTCACCGAGGCGGAAATCAGGTTCGGTGTGCGGTGAGTGATTCAGAGCATCTCTTGAATGCCGCTGTCACTGAATGTCCATTGATTCGGACCGTCAGTGACGCTGAGGTGCAGCGGTTGGTGCAGTGGTGCCCCCATTTGGCTGGGGTAAACGCCGATCACGCAATGATTAATTTCCCGAACCTTGGGGTTGTCGAAACGAAATCCCACCGTCCGCCAACACCGTCGCAATGGCTCGCGAATAGTTGCCGGCTTTGAATCGTGTGCTGCCCCGCGGAATGAAACTGCAAGCAAGAGTCGGTGCCTTTGGGTCCAAGGAAGAGAAAATCCGTACGATTGGGGCGGCGTTCGTCGGAGCATAACAACGTTTCTGCTGATGGTTGCAAACGCGTGTTCATCTTCAATGAAACCTCAACTGTCAAACCCCGATTGGTTTGGCAGACACATACGAGTTGTTGGTCCGGTTTTCCCGTGTTGGGGACGGACTGTGTTGTATGCCACCCTGATTTCGCGACGCAACCTGTCGGCTCGATTCCGTGATGGCTTGCTGCTACCCTCGGTGTTTGACAATGCAGGACGTTGCGTACGCTCGGCGGCACGTCGCCACCGCCGACTGAATATGCTCGATGTGATCTCACCTGCCTCGAAGGAGCCCTTTCCACTTCGCAGAGAACATCCTACGCCTCCCCTTCACGCCGTCTTCACTTGTGATGCTAAACTCGACCCATAATTTTGGACTTCTCGGCGGCGAAGCGAATTCGCGAGGAATCGCTGCCTGCACAACCATCCCAGCCGGCATATCCTCTGACGAGAGCGAAGATTGTGCCTTCTTCCAAAGCCTCCATTCTGTGTCATACTCTCCTTCTACCAGATCGCACAACTCAAAGCCTGAGCTTCGCTTGATATCCACTCGAGCCCTCCAATTTGGCGCCAACGTGTCTAGTCGTTCAACGCCCACGTCTGATAACTTGCAGCTGACGTACAACGCCAAGTCATACCTGCAAACAATGATAGGGATTACGGAAGTTGTTGTTCCGGGACCCTCCGGAAGCAGTGTAGTCATGGCGTGTCCGAACCCCCATCTTGCAAAGACGCTCATGATGATGACCTCGAGGTCGTCCAGTGCGTCGACCGCAGGGATCCTGGCCATAAATTCTACTCTGCGCGCGTAATACAAAGCCCCCAAAACCCACTGGCCCAGGCGTGGGCGGATGTATGAGAGTCGGTGCTGGTGTATCAAGGATCTAAGCTGGCCGACGTTGGCGTCGAGGAGAACTTTGTCAGGGCTAAAGTCCTCCGCGGCGTCTTCAAGCTGCGCTCGTATGTCTCTAGTCTGGATGAAGTCGACAACAGTCCTGTGCAGAAACCCAACACGTTCGTTAAAAGAGGTCGGGCGCATTTGGGACGGGCGTGGTGAAAATGAGGTCCTTGCACTGTCCTATCAGTCGTCGCTTCTTGCGATCCATCTCCTGCAACAGCTCAGCATTCTTGTCGACGTCCGTCCAATACCTCAGGAAAGGTAGAGGTTCTTTGGACGGGGCTTTGTCGCCAAAATCCATGAAGTGGAAGGCAAGAACCGGGAACGAAGTCGCCGCGTGGGCCAGAGTGAGAAACAACCGCGCAGTCCGCTTCCGGTAGGACTCATCTATGTTGTTCAGCATCTGACTGAATGCTTCTTTGAGATCGATGGGAAGCGCTCGCAGCCTCTTCCGGAGATCCTGGATGTCATCCTCTTTCATGAGCCCATGGAGGAGGGACCGCACAACGAGGAGAACCCAGAGGAAAACACCTTGGGCTCGGTCAGTGGTCTCCAGCGACAACTTTTCGGCCGCGACCCCGTCGCTCTGCTGGAGCCTCTTGAACTTGTCGGAGTCCCGAAGGTTGTCTTTGACAAATCGTTCCAGGGCCGGCTCGAGGCGCATATCTTGATGTTTGGCGATCTCCCCATGCGCAAAATGTCGTTGGCTAGTTCGAATTGGTCGCCGCTGTATTCATCGAGGCCGTCGATGAAGAAAAAAATTCTCCATTCTGCCTGGGCCATTGTCCCCAGGTTTTCGAGCGCCTTGACAAGTTCTGACCGCCTCCAAGGATCGAACATGTTGACATAGGGAGAGTTCCATCGATCGGGAATGACCTCGCCCCTGAGACTTGTGCGCTGTTTAAAAATTTGCCGCAGCAGCCCCTTCAGCAGACCCTCTTGCGACTTTTGCATGGCAGAACTCAAGACAGCACTGTAGCTCGATGGAGCAGTAGTTGATGAGGGTGGTTAGACATGTAGGGGGTGGTTGGAGTAAGGGGGACCTCTCATGTATCCCTGGTCATACAAAAATTCACAAAAGAATTCTTCACAAAATGTTTTTGCATGGCAGTTCCGGGACTCCAGAAGTAATGCTGAGCAAGGAGTAAGTTGGCATTTCCTGCCCATTTCTTCACAAGTCGCTTGGTTTCGCGGTGGTGAGTCAAGTACTTCATCAACGTGGACTTTCCGGAGCCAGCTTTACCAGTTACCCAAATACGCCGTCCCCGTGCTTGAGCCACTCGATGAAGTTGACACTGTTCTTCCTGACGTCGTTGTCAGCAGGATCAGCTTCGAAAATCCACTCGAACGTTTTTCCGTGGGCTTCATGGATAGCCCATTCTCTATCCTCGAGTTGGCTGTAGTATTGGCTGTCCAAGATCGCTTTCTGCTTCTCCAATGTCCACATTTTATGTAAATGATCAACAACTCCTTCGAGCCTCAATTTCTGCATTTCTCCTTGATACTCTAGAGTTTCAGGGTAAGAAAATGTGGCATCATCATCCTCTATGGGGACTTCTCGATTGACTGCATACTGGGCTCGGTGAAGGGCTATGTCGAGCTTGGCATTCAGCTCGGCATAATTCTTTGCGCTCTGCGATGATGCTATTCGCAAATCTTGATGCATGCTCCGTTGTTGTTCCCTACGAAAATGTTAACGAGAAGGTTCAACTGCCGCAGACTTTTATCGACGTGAGGTAGCGTAGCGAAATGACTTACAACAACAAGGCCAGAAGATGAGCAGATATCTGGGCTCGAAGAGTATCCAATCTGTCATGACATGAAGTTCTTGTAACTCCGCTTGTTTCCACAGAGTTTTCGAGATGATCTTGATCTTAAGGTATATCCCAGTGTTGGTTGTCTCTGGAACCTCGAGGCCGTTCAAGATGCCCAAAAATTTCGCCAGCCACGTTCAGGCCTCTGGTCATCAGTCCCTGCAGGACATCATACTCCGCAGCGCGAGAACCACACAACGGCAACTCGAGGCTTGAAATGATGTCATCGCCGCCTTTCAAGTCCAAGTCGATTATGTTCAAAGAGTCTGCTGCGTCTTTGGCGATCGCCTCAAGCTTGCCCTCAAGCTCTACTTTTTCTTCAATGGTTTCCAGTTCCTTCTTGAGTCTTCTTCGCTTATGCTTCCTTTCAATCAAGATCGTGATGGCTTCTTCCAAAGTCGCATTTTTAGCTTCACGTCTATCGATTTCGACTTGAAGCTTTCCTAGCTTCTCGGCGAATCCATACTTGAAATCCTGGGTGATTTCCTCCAGATCGAGGTTCTCGTCAAGCTTAACTGTCTGAGTTTTTTCAGCAACTCACTTTTTTTGATACCGCTTTCAGCGCATGCTCGAGGAACTGGGCCAGGTTCCCCGCCAACGATATCGCTGCGAGTGCCTCCATGAGACCGGTCAGAGAATCAAAGATGTTGAACAGAAGACATCTGGCAAGACAGTGTCGGAGTTGTGAGTTGAAGGAGACCAGGCCGAGGCAGCCAGCGCCCAAGATGTGCAGCGTTCGTAGGCTTGCGCTACAACATCGCATTACCCATGTCTCCCACAGACCACCGTCCCACGTGATGGGGTGCAGCATCTGCACAACGATTTCTTCGAATCACCTGAGGACGATACATGCAGCCTCGGAGACTGTCAGCACCTGCTTTCGTCATTGTCTAGTCAGGTGCAAAGCGCGGGGCCTCACGCTAACGGCAGAGAGAAATACGGGAATTGCGGCTCTGTCACATTGTCGGTTGAACAAGCTCTTGCTCGTATTTGAATTGAAGTTAGGTTGGTTGATAAGGTGGTGGAGGGGCGATGACGCTTGGTCGTGTCCGTGTTTACGACGTTCAAGAATTGGGTACATGTAATGGAAAGGGTCAAGCCATCGATCAAGTCTCAGTTGACGCAAGACCTTTCCTATACTGGTATTACCTTCCCTGCCATATCCTCGGCCGTAGAACCATCCACAGCTAGCTCACAAGCCCGTCCAAGAATCATGAAGACATAAACAGGTATCTCGAGAAGAAACAAAAACAGCAAAATTGCCAACCCATGTCTATCATAACCCATTTGGCCGTCCAAGAAAACCCATTGAGCTCATTTGCCCACCAAAAACATGAAATTTCGACTCAACAAGAGCAAAAGACTGCTGTTGCCTTGGTTCGAGAGAATAGAGAGAAACATCCTTCACCTTCACAGAGACTTTCAACGCATCATCGGTCTCTCTCTCCGACCAAGAGTCGGTTGGCCTCACCGCCTTACTCCAATCAACTCAACTCAGTACATCATCTCAACCTCCTCTCTGACGTCAAACTCCATGCCCACGTGCTTCGTCCGGAGGTGCCTGACAAAGTTGTCACGCCGGTTGTACACATGCCCCGTCTTGGCCTTTCGGCACCCGGGGACGCGGCACCGGTACCCGGCGCTGTCGCCGTCAAGCGTCTCGTGCGTCTTCTTGTGCCGCTTGAGGTCCTTTTGCGTGGCAAAGGCCTTGTCGCAGCCGGCCTCGTCGCAGCGATACTCCTTGATGTGGTACCTCTCATGCTTGCTGTGGCCATTTCGTTAGTCACTGAGGTGGTTCCTGGAGTAAGAAGACAGAAGACTCACGTCAAATCACTCGGCCGTCGAAAAACCTTTCCACAGCTGTTCCAGCGGCATTCAAACCGCATTCGCGAAATATCAATGGTCGCCCCGACAAGGCCAGCGGGAGCGGCAGCGGCGGCGACGGGGCTCACGGCGCTGCAGAAGTTGTTATCACCGCTGTTGCTGCTCGCCGTCGTCAGGCCGCTGTCGCTCGCCCTGTCGCACTCATTTTCGGTGATTTCGGGGTTCAAGGGGCTCAGCAGGTTCGTGCTCGACTCCGAAGAAGAGGAGGGGGTGGCGAGTGGACACTCCATGACACCAGGTGCCGTAGGTGATCTCCATGATGAGGGCAGCGGCGGCAGGTCCAGACCTAGCGCGGCTGCTGTGGGAGATGCGGGTGATAGTAGGGGTATGGGCGGATCCGTGACGGATTCTAGCTTGAGGAACGTCGTCGTCGGGTTGGCGTAGTAGTGCTCGCAGTAGCAGATGTCGTTTCCGAGTAACACGCAGTAACAAGAGTCAACGAGGTTGGGTTGTATGCTGGTGTCTAGGTAAAACGCCACCGTGGGAGATGGGGGTTTGTTTGGTTGGGGTGGTTCAAGAAGTCTGATCCGGTGAGATCAGAGCCGAGATACACGAGGCGACTTCCCGCTAGGAAGGCCAGAGATGAGGCGGTTGTGACGGTCCAGAGGCAACAGCTAGCCCTGGGGGTGAGGGTGCTTTGACCGAGTCAAAGAATAGGCGGGGAAATTCCCCGCATGCGGTTCTCAGAATAGGTGATGATACTCCGGGGAGGCTACCAAAGAGGTATGGGTGTTTTGCAACGGGCAGGCGATGTTGGGGAGTGGTGATGCTATCGGGCCATTCCGACAAGATGTGAGCGGCGGGGGGTGGTGTTGATCCGTGAATAGTGTTCAGGATCCCTCTGTCGACGATCTATTGCCAAGGATATCTTCCTTCCGAGTTCAGGCACGAGGTAAGTCTTCAAGCAAACAAGCTCTCGGGACGTGAGGCTCAAAAGCGGGCGGCGGGGTACGGTAAGGTTGGACCGGGTTTGGCGATCTCGGGTTGCGCAGGAGTGGGCGGCGGAGAATAAGTCTGTATTCGTAACGAGGGCGGACAAGGAGCCGGGCCGTGGCGTACTTAAGTAAGAGCGCAGCAGCAGATTCGATGCGTTGGATCTGGCGGGGCGGTGCAACATTCGAAGACGGGGGGGGGCCTCAAAAACACTCCAAACAACGTGGAAAGGGCAGAGCGACTAGCAAAACCACCACCTACTTACTACCTTACCGCACTAACAGATGGCAAGGTTGGCCCATTGGCTCAAGGGCTGCAGGTGTGGGTGACTACTTCAGCAGACGGGCCAATTATGCATCGCCAAAGACTGGAAACTGGGGCAGCCTGCATGACTGCCCAGCGCCTCTCACTCGTCACTCACCCTAGGTTCCTAGGTAAGGTAGGTAAGTTGGGCTCCGCTCCGCCAGAGGCATCGAGTGAGGCAGGGGAGCCTTCTTCATTCGCCTGCCGCGGAACTTGGAAGCCCTCCATCACCATGGGTGTCATCAGTGATCACCCACCAAGCAGCCGGCGGATGGGGGGCCGCAGCGCAACACGGGGACGGCCCAGCGAGCCGCAAAGGTCTGGAACACGGCCTGAGGGGCTTCCCGGGGCGAGGTAATGAGGAATCAAAGAAGCGTAAACCAACATCAGACCCATCATCGACTGTGACACGAGAGAGATACGGATACAGTCTCGGTCGCAATCCGTCTGGTCGGTACCGCAATCCACCACAAACAAGAGTTCCGATGACATGACACTCATCGCCCATTTCCCGCTCAGCGACAACCTCACTCGATACTTCGCCTCGTTCATGATGGACGCCATTGGCTGCTCGCCGCGTCCCCTGGCAGAGTCAAGCTCATCTGATATCTTGGGGCAATCGCCTTCCCCAGTAAACGCACTTGGCGCGGTGCTTCGCCTCGTTTCCGTCGGGACATTCAGGAAATAAAGCACTGTTCTGGACAACTTCCGGGTGAGGTAATTCAAGGCATACTCATCTTCACACCCATTCGCGACGACACTATCGTAATCCTGCCGGCAAGCACTTTACTTACATAACAACATCGCGCCGAGCGCGCGGGAATGGGAAATGTGGCAGGCAAAAAATCTGACATGGAAAAGTCCAGTCCAGTCCATCCCAGCCGCAGCCCGAAGTGGACCCCCCGAGATCTCCGTCACGCAATGCGGCGCCTCGACGGCAGTCCCATCAATAGCGCGCATCTTAACCGATCCGTCGCGAGGCTAAATATTCCCGGCCCGGCCAGGCATCCCTCCGCAGGTGGGCGGGATAGGATGGGCATCAAGACACGCACCACGCCGGGCCGCGAGCGGGTCTCTCTGTCTACGAGAAGCAGGAACAGAGACGCGGACGTCGTCCGAATGGGATGCAAGCAGCATGAATCCAGTCTTCACGCATAATACGACGCGCGGTATGACTGAGTTGCCCTGGCAGCGGACGGCCGATGGGGTGCATCTTGCATCTGCATGTTGGTGTTGTCTGATCATTGACTGCATAAACTCTTGGGGCAGCGGTGTATCTGACGGGGGAGGAAGTCGTCTGAACGTCCACGGAGACCCAAAATCTCGTTGGACGTCTGCAATCTCCAGAAGTGCAACGACAACGTGAGCGACATGTCAGGTTGGGCAAGATGTTGATTCCATCATGGCAACGACGCCCGTGGAGAGAGAGACCTTGGCATGCACGACGTCCACGGCGACGGCCAACACAGAGGCCAGACCGAGGGAAACCGCGTCTTTTAGCCCCGGGAACCTCATCGGTGCCTCTAGCAACAGCGTTGGATGCCGACGTTGGTCCGATATGAGGCCATCGACCGGTGCTAGTCTAGCGGACGTTGCATCGTCCTCCGGCTCCAGAGGTGTCATCGTCTCGTGGCCCTCACAGAAGTCTGCATCCCACCAGGGTTCGCGGCGCATCTTCGCTGTCATCATCACCAACGAACAGAAAAAAAGGAGACGGACAAAAGATCATCGCCATCTCGTGAGCCCCGAGCAAAGACTCGCGATGCATATATGAAGTAACGTCAAACAAGTGCCGGCCGACGGGTGACCTTGGCATCATGACTCGGGTGATGTTCAAAGGGACGAGGGCGGTAGGGCCCGGGAGTCGCGTGGCCGCCATGTCTTGACTCGGCGCCGATCCGTGTCTCGCTCAGATCTCGCGCGCCGTTACAGTTTTTAATTTTTGACCCTTCCAGGTGATCTGGAAAATTTGATCGAAGCATGCATTGGATCACTTGCATTGGATGTTGGATGATACGTATCCGAAGCACGTCAATGACGGCATCACCATCTGACCGCTCGATGGCATTGGCAGAGTTGCAGAGGAAGCAAACACCGCAATCCAACTCTGCCCGGAGAGCGTAGAAGCCGAGACGACACCGCCATTTCTCTCCCAGTATGTTCCCTCCCGGTCCGTCTTGGCTTCCGCGAGAACGACTGTCCAGTCGAGCAGGCGGGGGAAGAGGGCATCTCTGGTGTTACGCAGCATTGTGAAGGGTCTTTGTTTCCTGCTAATTAGTGAGGGGCACCGCTTGGGGATTAAAACAGGACCCCGCTTTTCCTCTCTCTCTGTTAGTGATGAAGACGAACACCTCGGTTCCTTTGTTCGTCATTGTCTGTGTCTCACTCCCATTCCTTAGGACCTTCGGGGCCCTCTCGAAGCCAACATCACGATCAAAGGCTTCATCAACAACAAAGTCGGTCGCTCACATGGCCATTGTTTATCTCTTGTCATGTTCCATCCAGTCCGAGTGCTGCCCTCCAACCCCGCATGTCTTCCCCAGAAACATGGTTCCATCATGGTGTCCCGCTGCAGCAGAGGCCGCTGAGTCCCCCCGGCCGCGCCCAGGCACTAAGCAGCGCTGGCGACGGAAATCCTGGCCATGCGACCAATGAAGATCCGGGGGACGGATGAGAGGGGGGAGGGGGAGGGGGAAGGGGGGCAGCACCGAGAACGGGCCTTGCCATTGCGGGGTGTGTTCACCGTCTGTAAGGATGGCGTTCTTCTCTCTGCCCGTTGTTGGCGGTTTTCTTCTGGTGACTATCGCTTTTGGGCAATTGGGGTAGAGACATGGAGGAGTTGGAGAAGGTTGGCGGGGTGGTAAGCAGCACCTCAGAGAGACACTGGAAGGGGCCACGAGAGCCAGCCACCTGCCAGATGCCCGCAGAGTCATGAGACCTGTCTTTGGTGTGTGATGCCCACCCTTTCCTCCATTCTGCTCTTGGCGTGCCGCGGTGCCAGGAAACAGCTTCTCCAGTGCGACTACTGCTGCACTTGAGGCAGCGGCGGACGGCCAAGCTAAGGTAATGGCACTAGGTACCTTACGACACTTGGCCGCCGTTGCTGTTTCTGCTTGCTAAGGCACTGACTGGCAGCTGCATGTTTTGATTGAAAGAAAGGACAAGAAGAGAAAAAAAAGAAAAGAAAAAAGGGTCCCTTCCGAGGTGGACGGCCTTGAGTCTGGCGCTTTTGATAAATAGCTCCCGTCTTCTCTTGACGACGCCCACGATCCATCCCATTACTCAACATCCATCTCTCTGTCCATCTGCCTCTACATACATCTCTCTGCCTCTACTTGCTAGACGTCCACAACAATACAAAGCATTCTTTCAGCTTCTCGCAACTCACAACTGCCTGGCGCCCCAGCTGAAATACATACGGCTGCGCCTCACTCTTACAAGCTTCGTCCTAAAGTCACTCTGCCTTTTCGCTGACACGTTCCGCTACTCAATCCATCCGAAGTCTGTCGATCAGGGACATCCAACCCCCCTACCCGCACCGTTTCGCCCAGAGAGTTTGACACTGGTTCTCTATTAAGGAACGGGGAGCCGGACTCGCCTACCATAGTCATGCGGCAGAACCTCTTCTTTTCATCGCTCCTGGCGACATTGCTCTCATCACCGCCCACGACACACGCTCTCGCTCTCCCGGTTCTCTTCCCTGACGCCCCGCCAGCATCGTCAAGACATCCCCCCGTCTCCCAGGAACTCAGACGCTCCGCCGCAGCCTCCTCCGCCCACCCCGCGAGAATGGCCGCCGCCGACCGATCCGCCAAATGGCGACCCCAGATTCACTTCTCACCACCCGCCAACTGGCTCAACGACCCAAACGGCCTCTTTGTTGATTCGGACGGCGTCTGGCACATGTACTACCAATGTAAGCCTGCCCCCTCGCCCGCCCCTCTCACCCGGTTTCATCCTGGTCTTCTTGACATCACATCTCAATAAGCCCGTTTTACTGCTGCTGCTTCTTCGTCTGTTTTGAGTTGTGGAACAAACGTCGCAGACACGAAGCTGCGTCTACCCAACCAATGTCGACGGCGTGTTTCCGCCCGCTTCATTGGATCTGCATTCTGCACACGTGCTAGTGTCCCGTTTGCCGTGAGGGTTGCGCTTCCTGCCAAAGACGGAAACATCACATGCGCGATGATGAGCGTTGCAGCGTCACCCCGCATTTCGGGCGCAATGAGACAGTGCATTCCTCCTCCGCACCCGCCCCCCGTTTTCTTGTCTTCAACACCGTTGGTGGATGAGGCTCTAGCCTATTTCAGACGTCGTGAAGAATCAGCTGCTAACCGTCCGCAGATGCCGACAATGTGCCGGGCTCCGGCGTGAAGAATTGGGGTCACACAACGGCCACCGACTTTTACAACTGGGTCGACCACCCCGTTGCCATCCCCGCCACGGCGCGCGATGGTTCAATCTGGTCGGGCAGCGTCGTTGTCGATAAGGAGAACGTTTCCGGCCTGTTCCCTTCCAACCAGACCAGCGGCAAGGACAACATTGTCGCTTACTACACGTCATGGGAGCCCGACCAAGAGTCCCAGCATCTTGCCTGGTCGTACGACGGCGGCGAAACCTTTATTCAGTATGAGGGCAACCCCATTATCTCACTGAACCGCCACGGCTTCCGCGACCCGAAGCCGTCCTTCCACCATGAGTCAAACACCTGGGTCATGGTCCTGTCGATGGAGAACCAGGTGGCTTTCTACACCTCGTCGGACCTCGTCCACTGGACGCAGGTGTCCATCTGGAACCCCGGGCACAACATTGGTCTCATCGAGTGCCCTCAGATTCTCCAGATTCCCACCAAGGATAAGAGCGGTAAGATTGTCGGCTCCAAGTGGGTTTTGACTCTGAGTTTGGGCGGCGGCTCGCCGACCGGTGGCGCCGAGGTGTCGTACCTTACCGGCTCCTGGGACGGCACCACCTACACGCCCGACGGGCCCGTTTCACGGAGAGGCGTTCAGGCAAGACAAGACAGCTTCGCGATCCACGACTTTGACTTTGGCCCGGACAACTACGCCACCGCCTTTTTCCACCTCCAGGACGACAACGACGCAGGCCGTGATGCGTACTCCGTCACGTGGGCCGTAGATGCTACTTCGTACGGCTGCTGCACCCCGACAGACGGAGAAGGCTGGCGCCACTGCATGGGCGGTGTCCGCCGCCACTGGCTCGACGCAACCACCAACAAGCTCGTCTCCGTCCCCGCGGGCGACCTGTCCAAGCTCGCCAGCACCACCGCCGGCTGGAACCCCATTATCGACGAGAAGGACGTCGCAGGCATCGAGGGCACCAGCTCCGTCATCCGCGAATTCAACCCGGCCGTCGAGTGGACGCTGACCGTGCGCATGGCCAAGTCCCTCCTCCAAGAGGGCTCCACCGCCTCCGCGGAGCTCTCCTTCCAGGGCTCCCAGTCCAACGGCTCCGAGAAGGTCTCGCTCGGCTTCCAGTTCACCGGCAGCGCCAACAGCGCCGCCCCCGTGGCGAGCCTTAACATCGCCCGCGCCAGCAACGCCTGGGACCGGTCGGGCTCCTTCGGCATCTCGGACGTCCAGGCGCTGGAGGCCGCCTCTGAGGAGGGGTCCAGCTCCAACGTCGAGTTCCACCTGCACGGCGTCATCGACCGCTCCATCCTGGAGGTCTACGTCAACGGCGGCGTCGAGGCCGGCACCATGCTCTACTTCACCGAGAACCCGCTCGACAGCATCATCATCACGCGGGGCGGCTCCAACTCAAATGGCATTACGTTTGACTTCAAAGCGACGGCGCTCAAGAGCTCGTGGGGCTCGTACGAGGAGAAGGCGTCCGCGCAGGACAAGTGGGTGACCGAGGAGTTGTAATTATGGGTAGCTGCATCTTTCGAATATCATGACTTTGCGTATCGTCACATTTGTCTTGTGTATATTGGTAATCTGGATCTTCTGTGCCATGCCAATAGTTTTTTTCGTTAGAGGCGTATGAGCCATCAGAACTCTGATGAACCCTATGCCATTGACTCCAACTGCAGCTCCATACGCGTCACGAAGCCTGCAGGGACATGTGCACCACGACAAGCCATACGCAGAGCGTACGCCCAACGACATGCCAGTAGAACAAGCTCAACAACAAACCCAAAGACATCAACATAGCCTTCCACCATATCAACCATCAACGGTCCACCCAGAGACACACACCGTGTGCAGACCAAACAAAACAGTGATAATACCACAACCAAACCTAGATATACACGGTAAACAGGAGCAGTCGTAGTTGCTGTTGTTGGAGACCAATGACGTCTGCAAACCATCCCCAAACTCCATCATCCCAGGGGATGTTTCAACCCCAACTGGCCCCCCCACCACACACATACATGTGACTGTCACATTTTCCATCCGAAGTAAACAAAACAAAACGGTAGCTGCGAGAAAGGACGCATCAAGGTGGAGGGGCAAGGCAAGGTAAGGTGAGGCAAGCATGGAAACACCACCACAACTGGTTCAGAGCTCCAGTGTAAGAGGACTGCCGATCTGGATTTGAGCATCGCATAACATCAAATCAACATTCAATTTCCAGTGAAGCCAAAGAGTTAACACAAACGCAGCATCACCTCCAGCAAGACAGCAAGATGTTTGAAGAAATGAAATGGAATTTTATTACACTCTTTTTTAACTTTTTGCCAGTCCAGCTCGCCTCAAGGAACTGCGTTGACAAAAACTGCTGCCTGCTTACTTGCTTGCTTCGCCCATACTGCTAAAGTGGAGGGGCTATTTGTGATACCATCTCTGACGCCGTTGACCGCCCACGCCTACCTTTGTGCTTAAGAAAGTGAACAGAGAAAAACAAAAGGTCTATATCGTACCATATCCTGCGACAACACACACAAAGCACACACTCTCTCACACACATCGTTCAGTTTGATAACTTAACACACATTTCCTTTTCTCTCTCTCTCTCTCTCTCCATGCGACAGAGCCAATATCTACTAGACCACACACCACTCTGTGTCGTTGCTCGTGTTCGACCGTCCGGGTCCCTCTCCGATGTGGGATATCTCAAAGCATGCAAAAAAAAAACGAAAAACAAAAGGACGCAGACAGAGAAACAGACGAATACAGGGCTTAGTAGCCGAACCCAGCGACCGCAGCAATGACTTCACGTCGTAACCTGCGCTTCACGTCTGGGTCCCTGTCTGCTTCCCTGAGGACGTCGTTGGGGTCCTTCTTCTCTGCCTCCTTTGGCGCCTCCTTGGGGGCCTCTTTTGGTGCCTCTTTGGGAGGCTCCTTGTTATCCTTGTGCTCCTCCTTGGGGGGCTCCTTGTCTGCTGGCTTGACCTTGCTGGGGTCGGCCTTGGGGTCGCCAGGCTTGCCAGTGTTGTCCACTGGTGCCTTTTCACTCTTGAGCTTCTCCTTCTCTTGAGCGGCCTTGTCCTTGGCCAACTGGTCTGCCCGCTGGTCATCCTCGAGGGCGTCATCCTTGGCTGGCGCGACCTTCTTCGCCTCGCCATTGTTGATGCTCGCCAGCGCGGCGCTGTCAAACATGTGCGCGCTCTCAGCACTTGTCATGGCGTACTTGGTCGCATTCAGGGGCTGGCCCAGGATGCTGGCCTGAGCGTCGAGCTTTTCGTAGAACGCATTTGTAGGAACATCCTCCAAGTAGTTGAGGCGATGGCCGCAGCGGGCGCCCAAGACGTCGCGGACCTTGGGGTTGGAGCTGCAGCAGTGGCCCCAGCAGTCGCTGATGTGGTCGATGACAGACCGGAAGGGGTTGCGTCGGCGGCTCTGGTCGATGATGTGGATGATTGTGGGAATGGCGACCTCGTGGAAGACGCCGAAGCCGGCGAAAACCTCGGACAGGAAAATGTAGTCGGCGAAGAAGCGGCGGGGGATGTAGTAGATATCGCTCCAGCCAACACACCACTCATCGCGGCGGACCTTGTACTCGAGGTCGAAGTTGTCGACAACAGCAGCGGCAGCCATGGCAGTACGGTGGAAGTCCTGGCCCCAGCCCCACCAGTTGTAGTTCTTGGTCTCCGTCAAGCACATGTATTCAGGGCCTCCGTGAGACGGCGGGGCGGTATCAATGATGGCGGGGAAGTGGATGTTGTAGGGGTTCATGCCGGTCCAGCCAAGAGGGTCAATCCACGCGTCGAAGTGGTAGTACATCAGGCCGTCAATCTCGGGCTGGGTGTCGAGAATCAACTTCATGGTGCGAGCGACCTGCTTGTAGACGGTAAATGTGCCGGGGAATTGGTCGTGGGTTAAGTTGTGGAATTCGGGGTCCTCCTCCTTGAACATGTTCGGCATGGAGATATGAACCGTGTGGAAGAACGGCTCGTACTTCTGCAGCATGGGAATGCGCTCGGGACGCGCAGAGTTCCACCTGATCATCGCCATAGTGTTCTTGAACGGCGAAACGATCTTCTCCTCATTGCCAGTAACAGGCTTCGGGCCGGTCGCAGGGGCCGCCTTGGATCCGCCGTCCTTGGCGAAGTCGGGCATCTTAGCCTCGGACATGGTGAGGAATGCCACAATGACAATGGTGATGAAGCTTGCAACGATCAGGAATATCTTGTTGTACTTGCGCGCAACAGCCGCGAGCTTGCCGAAGAAGGACAGCTTCTGAGGCTCGTTGGACTGAGCGGCATTGGGATCCTTCGGGGGCGGGTTGTCCATGTACAGCCAAGAGGCAATGAAGACCACGACGGTACCGGGGAGGACAAGGAAGCTGAGGTTGGTGCCGAAGAGAATCGGCGACACGTACAGAAGGATACCGGTAGCCACGGCAGTCGCAAAGCACTTGATGACGGCATCGGCGTCTGGACAAGTCAGCAGGGTAGATCGATCTAAAAAGGGGTATCCAGACGTTACTTACACTTGTAGACAGCGGTAATGGCAAGGCCGATGAACACATTGCTGACGATGACCATGATGGCGCCGAAGCTGTTGTAGCCCTCGAAGAAACCCGGCTCGTCGGCCTTGAGTGTCTTGATAACCAGATGACACAGCAGGTTGCAGGCAGCACCAGCAGCGTACAGAATCATGTTGTCGGCGTGCAAGCTCGAGTCATCAGTCTTGAGCAAAGCCTGGTTGTAAACTCCCGAAGACGCGCTCAGGAAGACCTGGAAAAGCAGAATGAAATACGTGCTGAAAGGATACGTGGTGCCCGTCGTGGGGTTGTACTGGGTAACCATCAAACCGCAAATCTGGTCCGTATTAGTTTAGTCAATACCGTGAATGGACGGGGAATCATACCTGCATGACAATGGCAATCCACTGAATCTTGGAAATCTTGGTGTTGAGGGTCGCGATCATGACGAGGGCGGTGATGAAGGTGACACCGCTCTTGGTCAGTTGAATTGTACCGGGGTCGGCCATTTTGTAGCTGACGAAGATCTACACAATTAGCAGAGAGCAACAGCAAGCGGATTTTCTCACATACCGAGTTGTTGATGAGGACGTAGAACAGCGCCAAGTTGCAGAAACCGTAGCGCACGTCTCTCGTGACCTCGCCTCGTACATAGCTCCAAAACGTCCTCAGGTCCAGCTTTGGCAATGGCATGTGCTTGTCGACAACGGAGCCATTGCTCGAGGAGCTGGCACTTCCGTTCAGTCCCTCCTCCTCACGCTTCTCATCCAAACTACTCCTCTCGTTTGTAGGCAGCTCCGAGGTGGCGAGGGAGGAGTAGCCGCTGCCGCCACCACGAGTCGAGGGACGGATGCCATCGGCAGCTCGTCTTTTGCACTCGTTGTAAAAGAACATTGTGGACAGAAGCATTTTGAAGAACTCGGAAATGGTGACGGAGGCAGATGGCGAGAAGGAATATGAGCCGCCAGTCTGAGCAACCTTCATGATAATTCCAATGCCGACCTGAATGGCGACGAGGCCGAGGGCAGCAGCGTAGGCGGCATGCTGAGGCCCGCTGGGAATCCAGCTGAGGGGCTTCAAGAAGAGCCCCAATACGCTTCCGTGTCGTAACATGGTTGCGGTTCACCAGCCGCTAACGGGCGGTTCTGTTCGTGTGTTGAGGGTCGAGGGATCGAAATTCGTCGCGGGGTGTAAAAGCTGGAGGACCGGGCGAAAACGAGCGTGATGGGAGATGTGACAGCGGGCTGCGAAATGGGCTGGGCACAGAATGTGTAGCCCGGCTGCAGTGCACAGGTTGGAGGATTGGTTGGTGTTGGACTCGGGCGGTGCTGCTGGCGCAGTGCAGAAAGGGAAGTCTTGGGTCGTCTTTAGGTTTCCTGGGGGTGGGGAGATGACGCTTGCTGTGCCGTCGTGTCCGACATGCGCTGGCGTCTATCTTTCGTAAAGTCGTCTGGGAGTCGTCTCGAGAGGCTCTCGTGCGGTCGTCGATGTCGTCGTCGTCGGCGTCGTCGCTCGTTTTCGATTGCGATGGGCCCAGGATCGCAGAGGAAAAGGTCGCTGGACAGTTATGAGGGAGAGAAAAGGAATGGGTGGTCGGGTGGTCGGAATTGCAAGATTACAGAAGGAGCAGGCGGAAGAGCAGAACAGGTGCAGGAATGATTGTTGCACCGGAGCGGCAAAGCGAAGACTGGACGTGGGAGTGGGAGCCCATGGGCAGGTCAAGAACGGGAAACGGAAGGCACCACAGGGGAGGGGGGAAGGGAACACTGCACCGGGCGCGGTCGCTGGAAGCCGAATCCTGGAGGTGCCCACTCGAAGCTGACATACTTTCCCGTACCTAGGTACAGTGTCTGCGACAAGGGGGTGCGAGGGTACTTTGCGAGATACATGCCCCAGGTACCTATCTGGATACTAAGGCAAGGTTCCCTGCTGAGGCTGCTGGGGGAAATGGGGCAATCGGGGGAGCCAAGCAATCCCAATGGGAACTTTAGCAGTG